TCCAGGATATCTCAGATCAAAGGTAACAAATAGTAGCTACGCCCTCCACAGCGAGCTCTGGGACAACACTAGCGATTGCAGGCAGACCAAGGACGCTCTGCCTAAAATTGATAGACGGCTCTCGAGCAGACTTCTCAAACTCAACAAACAACAGCTACGACTAATTGTAGCAGCACTCACTGGCCATGGCCTTTTCAACAAACATCTGTTCAACTTAGGTGTCACTGACAGTCCTTTGTGCAGAGCGTGCATGGAGGAAGAGGAAACAGCGTCACACGTCTTACAGCACTGCCGAGCGGTGACTGAATACAGGGTTAGGTATCTTGGCTCGCCGAGATCGCTCCCGGAGATCACCAGCAATATTAAGGGTCTGCTGGGGTTCTTCGGTGAGCTGGGTTGGCTGGAGTAATCCATGTCTTTTTCTCACGCAAAATACGCGCTAGTCGTGGAGTTGCGGAAACCGTAGCCCCTACTACTACTACTAACTCCCTAAGTTTAATAACGTGAAAATATGTAGTCTAGAGCGTGTCGTAAATGCAGGACTTTTTATTACTAAAAGAATTATTAAAAAACCTAATGTGATTGCTGACGGAGGATCCGTAACTAAGTAGTGTGTGTTTACTTTACTATATTAGTATAGAAGTATAGATACGTAATGGTCACAACACAAACGACATTTCTCTTTTATTTCTTTAGATTCCCTCTGTCTACCTTTTACTCTGTTATTCCTACTCGTAATAGGTGTGTGAAACTAGACGTTCGTAAAATAAAAAGAAAAACTAAAACTGAATATATTCTCACCCGCGTTCAACAACATCCAAGCAAGTGTTGACCGCCGAGTTCTCAAACGTAACCTCCAGCAGCCCGGCTGACTCAGTCACTGACAACGCCCTGAGGACAAACGGGAAAATAGTTCTCAGGATTTAGGAGGGTATAAGGAATCGTGACAGAGATAGGAAATGGAATCTTACATTCATTCATTCACCGTTCAGAAGCCTACTATTATATAGAAATCTTTAGCAATTACAATAACAGTATAACTTAGTAAACACTTTCTCGAGACGGTATATAATAATACAAGACGTTCGCAGTTAAGCGGCAATCATAAAGAGATCGGATAATTATCAGTACATGATAACCTCCCGAAATAATCAAGGGCATTTCTCTATCTGACACATCTTGATATACTAAACACAATACCTATGCAAGACAGTAAAATAAGTTCTAAAAAAGAACGACATAAGTTAGAGCCTTTCATTCGAATCGTATCGATTTTAGATTTTTAAATCTCAATAAATACATTTATTAGCAAAATATCGACGTTAGCTAACAAATAATACGATTTTAATCAATCTAACGCGATTTAGTGTGTTAAGAAAACCAGGTACTAACAAAAATTGTAAAACAATTCATTGACCTATCAAATCATACAAGCTTAATAAAGGAAAGTACTATAGGTCTAGACGGTATATCTATACAACAGACGTCGCTACGGGCGGAAAATGAGTTTCTCGTGCTAATGAGGTGCGCGTACAGAGCACGGACCGTTGAATGGTGCACGCCCCGGGCCCGACCTGCCGGCCACTGATACATCATTAGCAAATTGTTACAGCTGATTGATTTCAATGCGGATAATTGCTTATTTTAACCAAAGCACAGCTGCAAGACCCACACGACCCGCAAGATATAACGGGGTGTTTAATACACGTCTACATTTAAACGGTTTTTACGATTGCATTTTTTAAGACTATTTCACAGACTTCTTAACAGTTTTGCTTTACCTTAGAAAACACTTTTATATGGTCATGAAACTTCTGTGGCACGAACCAGTGAATATTTGCATAGATTTGTGTAGTATACTTATAAAGAACATTAACCATTAAATTTCAGCAGTTTTGGGATCTGCATATAATAACTTCATTTTACTACAATACTCAAAGACGTTACACAGACACTTAGGAGCTAGGTTATTTTTCATAGTAAATCTACATAAGTTCTCTAAGTAACTTGAAACCTGCTGCACGCCTTAAGTTTTAATTAAAAAGTTGAACTATGCTGTTAAAACGTACATGTGTAAGCAGATAACTGAGAGTAAAAATAGAAGTGAAAACTAAAGGTAGGCTTCAGTGATAATTACACAACTGTGAATGACGAAATGAATAATATTTACAACTTGACTAGCTTTCGCCCACAACGCCCTCCGAGTCGAACTTTTTGTTCTTCTAGACCAGTGATTCTCAACCACTGTGCTGCGGCACCTTTGTGTGCCGCTAGATTTTGCATACTTTTGTCATAAACTATTTATGCAGTGTGTTGTAGTTGTAAATAATTTTTATCTTTTTCTTTGTATGCTGCCAAATTTTGAAATCGTTAAATATGCCGCAACAAAAAAGGTTGAGAATCACTGTTCTAGACTGTCCTCTACATATATGCTAAATTTCATCGAGATCAGTTCATCCGTTTAGATTACAAACTCTAACAATCCATCCTCACTTTCGCATTTATAATATCGGTAAGAAGTAAGATTTGTATAAGCTACATACAATAAGCTTTCACCGTATTATGAGGGATGTGATTCTCAAACGCCCACAGGGCCTTTTATAGCCTAGTCCATGAACTAAAGTTTTCTTCAATTGAATAATGATGCGCGTAATTGTATTCCACTAAAGTGATTGCTTTAAATTGTTAAAGCATTCTATTAATCTTGTCCACTGAAGGTTAATCATAGCTGAAAACTATCTGCTATAGAAGTTAACTTTATTGGGGTCAAGACTCACTTTAATAGATTACTGCCGTTAAATTGCTGCTAGATTGCTTGAAATCTTCTATATCACGTTTGTTTTTTTTAATTATGAGGCCTTTAAAAATATTGTGACAAGCTATCTGTAAATACCAACTTTTATTCCGTTTAAAAATTGCTTAGTTTGTTTATAAATATTAAATTTATTCAGATGTAAACTAAATCTAAAAATAAAGATTTTTTGCATGTTTTCAATAACTGATTTTTTTCCAGTTCATTTAGATGAATGAGATTTTAAACTTGAATCATGAATCATTTCGTTCAAAATTTCACACATCTGTGAACTCTACTAGTGACTTAACTAGATGTGTACAAGCATACATACAGAGATGTCTGTACCTCATAATAATCGATATCAGGAGCAAACGAGACAGGCGTGTAATTGTTAACATGTCCGTCTCTTCAAACCGCAGATTAGAAATGGTATAAACGTGGTAATGCAAACGGAGAGTGAATAAACCGATTAACCGCTTACTATCAAATCGACTTCGTTTCCCTAAGACCCTAGAGCATAGACTTCGAGAACAACCTGATTGTAATCTTACTTCTTACTAATATTATAAATGCCAACGTTAAGATAGATGGATGTTTTGGAGTTTGTAGTCAAAATGGCTGCACGGATCTTGGTGAAATTTGGCACAGATGTAAAGGAAGTCTGGAAAAACACGTCGGCTACTTTCTTTTGTGTTTTTAATTCAACGTGGACGGGGTCGTGCGCGAAAGCTACCTAGCTTAGGATTAATTTGAATTATTGTGATAATTTTACCACAATCTACATAAGTGGTAAACAAAAGCTCACAAGCATATCAAAATTCACTTCTCCATTAAAATCATCGATTAAAAACCCATTCATGTACTCTTTCTTTTCAATATTTCTATATTGTTTTTACACTATTCATACTTAATTATTATTTCATCATTATTATTTTCTGAAACCTACTAATAAAAAAACACTAATATGGTACAAACTTTATCAAAACAAATTCCTCACTTACATTCGAATTGGTACCGAAGTTAACCATAACATTAATTTAGCCGATCAGAAAACAATTCGAAAACCATAAAAGCTTCCCCCAATTTATATCCGAGCCGGCAATTTGTTCACGAGTCACAACAGAGGCCGCATCTGTGGGCCGGTTTGCTCACTAATTGACACTATCTTTTATAGCTTTTGTATCGAAAAGTTCTAATTAACAAATATTGTAGTTGGGATGGTATGTACCAAACAAAACTAAACGCATTTCAGATAATACTGCCGCGCGTATAGTCGTTAATGGATCAATAAAGGAAGCGCTGAGGGTAGATTTCTCAGAAAAACCACACTAAGCAAATCATTTGATTCTGAGTTCGTCAATTAATATTCTTATAAGATCTAATAGAATTGATATTTTTTTTGTGTTTGCTATTTCAATGTTTTCATTGTTTAAATCACTGATATATCTTTAATTATCTTTTTTTGTAGATGACCAAACTGCCAAAGTATATTGTACAAGCCAAGATAAAGATTAAGTACTATTATTGGCACAAAGTTTTATCTGTCTCTTAAAATCATCCGTATTTTATATAGTTGCTCCTGGCAGATACGAGTATGACTGAGTCGACTCAGCGAAACATTTATATTCCTTGTAATGCAATGCGCATTATGTTAGGGTTGCCAAATGTCAAAATCCTAGAAGCTAATTTCTTAAAAAGCACATGCTATAGCGTAACGTATAATATTGAAGAAGCTTCAACGTTCAAAATATTTTTTTATTAACTTCGAATTTTTTAACAGGTAAATCGTAGTTAATCTCGAACTTCAAATGTCGCTTATGAAGTTATCTGGGTGAGACTCTTCGTTTCGCTTGAAATAAATTATTAGCCCTATGTATACGATATTGCTACATTCTTCTGCAGTACTGGTTATCTAATGATAAAAACTACAATTTTGATCTAATATCTAACAACCGGTTAAGGCACAACGTGTAGTATGATAGTGCCAACCCTAGAGTTCACATTAAAAACAAGACATTCCGTGAAAGTGTTATTAGCGCCATACTTTCCTACCACTCCAATGGCATAGATATTAAAGCACTTTGTGCCGGACTTTTTTATTTATCCTTTTACGTGGAACATTCTTTTGCCATTTGTAAGATAAATGGAAGTGAATAAAATGAAGAACCTGTTATTATTTACTTATATTTCAAACGATTACGAAGGGAAAGTAGGGCTTCACAACTCCACAATTTTAATATCGCATATATTGTTCAATTCAGGAATGACGAATGAAATAGAATTGGAATTTATATGTTGTTAGTACAGCGCAAAAAACAACAAAAGCAACAGGATTATAAATAAAAACGCTTTTGGCAACCATTTTTTAAGGAGGAAATAAATTAATTTGTAATTTTTTTCATAAAATAAATAACAAAAACACATCGACATCTCTCTCATTTCTTATCAAACAAATTTAAACATGTTTTGTATAGATGTTTCCGCAGTGAAAACTCACAGAGTAGGGTAAGTATTCAGTGTTAATGTTATAAACGCTGTAGGAGAGTTCTTATCACGGTTATTATCCATTTCCAGCTTCATCGGTGGCCTGAGAATTGTAGTAAACCGCATTCTCATAAATCACAAGTAGCAGTTTTGACGCGGTCAGACACGACGCAGCTATCGACGAATAAGGATCGGAGACGTTTTTGTATATAATGAGGACATCTTCGACAGATCTCAGTCGTTTCTTTGAATTATTGTGGTTTTCCAGACACTTTTATCTTTACTCTAACTCATATTAATTGAGGTTTCAACGGTCGATTGCACATTGCTAGATTTGAATTTATTAATAACAGAACTATGTCTTTAGGGTTATTAAGTTAACAACACGCCAAAAACTAAGACATTGAAGAAATTGTAAAATAAAAATAATATCTATTTAAGGCAACTTAGATTGGCACACCATAGACACTAACTTTTCGATCCGTGCTTATAAAGGTTGATCCAGTATGGGTAACTACTTTGTTTTTAAGACGGGCATAAAAAGGGGCGAAATAAAATATTTTATTGCCTTTCAAACCCCTTTTTAATACATGATACTTATTTATTTAAAAAAAACAACATTTGTAAGTATTGAAATTTCGTATTACGCCATTTATTTGCACAGGCGAAGTACCAGGCGTTCAGACGTGCGGAGGAGGTTAAGCGAAGCGTGTAATGTCGGCTTCCGCGAGGGAGCGCCACGGGAGCGGCGAGACGCCGTGCGTGACGCGACAGAGGCGAGAAGCTTCTATCATTAAACCTGGCTGTAGGTGGGCTAAGACAATGTCATGACACGCTAAAAAAGACCTTATGGGTATTCAAGAAGGCCTAAGCTTTAATTTCATTTCGCGTTACAAACTAGTTGACAGTATAGTAGAACAATGAAAAATTTACTGCGCAACTAAATTGATTGATACACATACTTGCCAAAAATTGTCCATGCATAAAAATTACGAATCAAACTCATACAAACAGTATATCAACAATCGAATTTACATCTAAATCATTATTGTGTCTTTGGTAGTGACCAGCAATTGACTAATTAGAACCTTAATAATTATAAATAAAAAGTGTAAGGAACACAATGGCATTAGAATAGAGAGATTTCGTGACCAACTAGAGAAAAAAAATCCAATAACATGTCCACCACAAAATAAATCAGACAATGTCACCGACCATAAATATTAAGTGCTATAAAGCGATGCTTTCTAATGAAGCATTTTATTGTGCAGTATATTAGAATGCGGGCCACCACAAATTGCATTGTACCATAAACCAGAGACAACCGCGGTAGCTGCAAGGCTTCCCGGAACCCGGGCACAGAAGCTATCCTGTTACCTCCCGCCTGTGACGACAATCCCATTACACAATGCCGTGGGCACAGAACAAACTTCCGCAATTTGCACTCTGTGTGTAATTATTTTCATATCTATTATCAAATCGCACCCATCGCACGAATAAACTATCTGTTTCAGAATTCAAAACCCTTAAAATATAACCTAACAAATTGCACAACAATGAAATCAAAATTTAAGCGCCAAACAATTACCGCCATTTTGAATAGCGCGCAAAAGGCAAAGGTATAATTCTATTGTTCGACCATAACGTTGTCGTTTGAATTGCAGAGAGAATAAACGGTGTTTCGAATCATCGACTAAATCCGGCGCCTTTGTCTCGATTTGAAATTTGTATTTACAAGTACAAGCGGATAAGGGTATTAATTATGCATATACATTAAACCAAACCTATATTATATCTAAATCTAGGTCCAAGTGAGCCTCTTGGAGTGTACAGAAGTTCCGGGATGAATATGCGATAAAGACAAAGTTAAGAGGTTTACAAATCCAATAGGAAATGTAGCAGAGATTCACCGAAACCTGTAGTGTTTTAAAAAGCGTCACGAGAAAAGTTTGGAAATCTCTAGTCTCGATGTTTGTTTAATTAAACTTTCAACTCAAACTGCATACTTGTTTACCTTAATTAGAAATACAGCAAGCGCCGCCTACAGCTCCGAACTAAAATAAGTCTTGTTCAACCCACGCCTTCAATTAGATCCAAGCGCATAACATCGCATAACTTGCATCTACAGTAATTCATAACGTGCTGTGGATTTAGTGTCTGAGCATTTAGATTACGATAAAACTATCAATATCCGATACTAATACAAATGGAGTTAATATTGAAGTTAAAAGGAAAAGAGGGTATTTTATGGTGTAACGGTAAAATGTTTATGAACAAAACTTAAATGGTTTAGAAAATTGACACTTTATACTCTTTCAAATAACTAAAGAACAAAAAATGTAAATAATTTAAACATTTGCTACGATCACGGAACAAGCCTTTTTTCCTACATCAGACATCATAGCTCCATCTTGTATATGTACGCGTCATAACATATGTCCTAATATTTACAACAAATTCTACGTACTTTGTAACTGAACTCTTCGATCCCTCAGGTAGACCCACGAATATCACCGTAGACGACATTAGAAAACCAATCACTTGATACTTATTACGAATAATTTAGAATAATTAATAAATACTATATCGCCCTATGCTAACTTAAATCACTGACTGGCCGTCAACATTTTGACGTTTTCGAATTAAATAAGTAAAGAAGTCTATATAACCAGCCAGCATCAACGAGAACTATGGAGGTACTGTACATTGTTTATGACAAATAAGTTTACGTGGGTAGTTTCAGTGTAGGCAGAAGTAGTTTATTCTGCAATTACTTAATCATCTGAAGTAGTAATTTATATTTGCTTGTAAATTTTTTGTAATATAGCGCCAACATTTGATGGATTTACGAATAGAAAGGTGTTTTGTGTCTACAAGTTGACAGCAGGTGGCGAATGTGCTCAACACAAGATTGCAAGCAATTATCATTTTTTTGAGATACAGTGTTTTTTTTTAACATTAGTTGCGATTAGTCAGACTAACAGACATGTTTGTATTGATTTAATAGATATAGAAGAAGCAACAGTGATATAACAGTGTTGTAGCAAGTGGAAAACCGTATTAAAACTAGAAAATAGATTTTTATTGAAAGAAAAACGTTTTTTAAATTAATGATTTGTAAGCGCGACTATCCTTACAAATTCAAAAGCATTACATTCAAGGATTTAAATTTCATTTTATGTTTAGGTATCATAAAGCAAATAACAAAGTACACATAAGTTTCCTTTTTAATATATTTAAATTATGTTACTGCATATTTCACTACTAATTGTCTAGATATTAACTTAACAAGTACTTACTGTTATATTTATAAAGTGTTTAAACTAAGATTTTGTAACCTTTATATATTTGTAAGGAATCAATAAAAGCTTTTTATTTATTTTATTATTTTAAGCGCGACTATCAAATAGCGACATCTATTGTCCAGTAGATGTCTTACCACGATTTTTTTTTTAAATGAAATATTGACAATCTGTTCAGAAAGTCGGAGAAAATGTAAACATTATTAAAAATATTTGTTATTAATTTCTAGTTTCTTTCAAGTTACACGTTCTTAGAGTACATATACAAAATAAGCTAAGAAATGTTGAAGATTATTTTACCAATACAACCCAGCCACAAGCATTTTACTCTGAGCTTGTCTATGGTTTATTTTGTTTTAAAATCGTATTCTTGATTTCCGAACTATCAAGGTATCAAATCAAGCTTGTGACGGCTGTTGAGTGCAAGAACTTGTTATTAGCTTTGAAAGTGTTTAATTATTTTGGTATCTCTGAGTTATAATAATGAAAATTGTATTGAATTTTTAACAATGTTGAATTCAGCATCTACGGAAGCTGCCTTATCGGCTACTTACGTTGAAAATTACTTAGATTGTGTCGAAAATCTCCCAAATGATTTGCAGCGACATTTATCGCGTATGCGAGAGCTCGACGTAACTTATAGAGGTGATTTTTACAATTTTATTTGCTCCCTAAAATAATTACTTAAAGGCTTTTAACTGCACAATCAATATCTTTGTAAATAACTCAGGTTTTAACATTATTTTTGTTGTGTTGACGTTTCGTGTTTCTATGTCTTGTACACACATATGCAGTATAGACGCTACTTTGGGGATAATAGATTCAAAAATAACTTTTCGTACAACTCATTGCCGATCCGGTGTTTAGATATCGTAAACTTTTATTCATTATGGCACGGAACTTAAGTCATAATTTCGGAAAAGTATATGAGGTCATAAAATTGGGTTTTCGTGGCATAAATGCTTATTATCTTAGCAGAAATCAGTCAGTCAGAAACAGTGTTAAAATAATTTCATTAATATAGGTAATTATTGTGTCTCCAGAATGTCTTCGTGATGCTGAAACACATTTAGCAGTGTGCATAGGAGCTAACACAGAAGAAAGGCGTCGCACGCGGGCTGCCTTGCGACTGCAAGCTGTGCTGGTTGCTGCACAAGAGATTGGAGATGAAAAATTACAAGTAGTACAGATTCTACAAGATCTTATAGATAATAAACAGAGGTCTCTTGATGCTGATCATAAAAATCTAAGTAAGTACAATACACAAAAAACTCATAGCCATAGTGATTTAAAATCATTAAACAATGAATTAATGTTTACATCATGCCAGTAAAGTATGCTCATAGCACTCTAAACTGGCACTTGTACGATGTTAACACTAACTGGCACCATTAAGCTCACAAAGTACATGCCTGGCTTCCACTACTGTCTAACTGTACTGGCTAAATAACCAAACATTACTTAACAATGGTTGTCATAGTAACCAATTTGTATTGTTCTAGTCTCTTGCCTTGAAGTGAACACAAATGGTACAGTTAAGGAAGAACCATCACCAACATCAGAATCTCTTCGGACGGGAGACAAGGAGCGAACTCCGCCTCAGCAGCACGCACCGCCCCCGCCTCCGCCTGAACGAAATAATGACAAAGAAAAGGAAAAAGAACGGGATAAAAGCGGAGGTAATTTTCTAGTTACTTTAACATCAAAACTTGTTCAGCATAATTTTTTTTACCCTTTTAAAAGTAAAGTATAAAGTTATAAAATGGATCGTAAAAATCATAAGCCATAATAAAATAATTGTTACTTACCATTCATTGAAAATTTCCACTTAAAAAATGCAATTTAGCAATTAAAAATATGTAATATGAAACTTAATGTTCAAGTTTATTTCCACAAAAGAACATTGTTTTCTTAATAACTAATGGGAACAACATCAACAATTTTTTAATAATTCATTATATATTTCTTGCTTCCTCACCACTCTCTCTTCTGTATACTTTTGGTACACAATATGCTGCAGTATTTGGACAATAGCACTCAAAATCAGTGCTGGCATCATATAGACGCTACCTCAATCATCTCAGTCATCACTCCCTTTTTGATCATGTCACCTTTCACACAATCCATCCATTTCTTTCTAGCTGTAGAACATTTGGATAAACATATAAACCAACATTTCGCATGGACAGAGCAGGAGGCAAAATCTTGTTGGAACATTGTATTTAACAATTTTTTGTAATATTGTAGGTGAAAGGTGGTCGAAGCGAGCGCGGCGATCACGTACCGCGGCCAGCACGGTCACAGACGGCGCGGATTCCAGCGAACGGGACAGTGAGCGACACGCACACAACACTACGCATAAGAAAGGTAAACAGCATAACAGGGCCCAGCTTGCCAAAAATAAAATCAATCCCAACGAAAGCAACATGGGAGTATGCCATTTGGGAAAAACTTCCTCAGGGATCGAGCAAAGGCTCAGTGCATAGTGTACCGGTGCATTCCATTAAGTGTATTTTCCAAAGTCAATCACTGAACTGTGAGTTGACTTCACATCTTGGAATTTATGACTAGATGTTGCTCGCGACTTTGTCCACGTTGAATTAGAAAATACAGCCTTACTTACTCACTAATAACATAGCTTTTTAATGGTGAAAGAATTTTTGAAATTGGCACAGTAGTTTTTAAATTCAACACTTACAAAAATACAAATCATTCCTCTATTTGTTAATATAGATATGGGCACTTGATATATGTTTAAGCTAAAATGTGTTTGAAACACCATCAGTGATGGTTTATTTTAAAATATTTACCGTTTGTACATTTCTAGGTATCGGTAAGAAGAAAAAACGCAAAGCAAGGCAGACCGCACAGCGTTCAGAAACACCGCCTGAGGATAATGATCCAATAGATCCTGATGAGCCGAGATACTGTCTTTGTGATCAAATATCATTTGGTGAAATGATATTGTGCGATAATGATCTGTGCCCCATCGAGTGGTTTCATTTCTCCTGTGTCTCACTCACAACTAAACCTAAGGGTAAGTGGTTTTGCCCCAAATGCCGTGGTGACAGACCCAATGTAATGAAACCCAAGGGACAATTTCTCAAGGAACTCGAACGGTACAACAGAGAAAAAGAAGAAAAAGCATAGTGATGTGATCGGCTCGTGACAAAGTGATCTTAATAAATACGGTTATATGGATGCAGTATAATTTATTTTTTATATTAACCCATGGTTCTAACTGATTCAGTTGTGACTTTGTTCTAAGTAATTAGTTATGTCTTATTGTCTAAATGTTGCAAAGTATAATAATTAAAATTACCTCATTTTGAGTTCAGTTGAAATGTTCCGCCTTGTAGATGTAAACAGTTCAACTTTGTTATTCAAATATCTCAGTGGAAAAAGTATATTTTAAAAGCAAAAAGTTAAATTAATACGAAAATTCTCTAGAAAGTAAAAAAAAATTTAATCCGCACAAATAAAATTGTTTTCGTAGTTAGTTAATCTATTGGCCACAAAGTTTTAAATGAAAACGGCCCTAAGCAATTTTACTATATTGCTAGATTTAAAATTATTATTTGTTGCACTAAGAAAAACAAGATAAACCCGATAATGCAAGAAATCTATAAATGTATGGCGGCAGCTATGTTATTTCACTTATATGGTTTATACCTGTTTTAATTGGAAGGGGCCTGTTGTATGTATATCTGACTTGATACTCGGCTATGTGGAAATTACTGCAAATGTAACAACCGACTTCAAAAAATATATAATTTATTGTAATGGTTCACAGAATTACTTAATTTTTGCTATTTTAGGTATTGCTTTATTATTTAAAAACATCTACCTAAGTGTTAAAAGTATTGAACTTTTGAGATAAATAATAATTCAGATTATATTTAGAGTGTATAATATGCGTTGTGTTTTACGATGATAAACCGTTTCCCTTAATGTAAACCACTAAAAATTGGCAATACAGAACAGTACCTAAAAAGTTTTGTAAAATCTGTTCACGTGAATCATCTGGATATGAAAATACACGCAGTAGGTATACGGAACTGGCAGTATAAATTCGCGCCAAAAAAACTAACCTCAATAGTTTTTTTATCGTAACAATTATAATTGATTTTGAGGTTACAAAAGACGCGGGAAAGCTAGTGTTGAGTGACTATAGTCATGACAATATAAATATTTGCTCTATTTAATTCGATTCCACAATTAATAACTCTGGATATTTGATAAAATGTTTTTTGATAATGGTTCTGATTACTGTAGTAAAATTTGTTTAGTGTACACTAAAAAACCTTAAATATTGTTGTATGATGTAACTGGCAAGCTGGTTACAAAAAAAAAGAAATACTGTCTATAAAAATATTTAACTATGGAATTTCTTTTTTGAAGTCGGTTAAAAAATTTAAACTCTCGAATGTTGATTTAATTAAAACAAATGTGGATTTTGTTTCTTAATAAATAGCTAATTAACACTTATTGTTTTACTAAAATGACTATTAAATATTAATTCACAACATTCTCCAATGTAACTAACTATAGTAGGGAAAAAATTATTGTATTTTCCTTATTCCTGTTGTTATGGAGTTTATGAATGAAAGTATTTAGTATTTATTTCGTTATTTAAAATCCTTTAAAGAGGTCAACTGTAAATATAAATGTATGTGTCGTATAACGAGAGAAAAACTATAGACATTATAATAGAAACTAAAGTACAGCGTTGTAATTTACGCATTTATTGTAATTATCTTGTAAAAAGTGATTTTTCTATGGTATAGTCAATACCTACAGATTAATTTAGTTATTTTGAATATAAGGTTTAAAATAATATTGATGTGTTTAATTTACACAAATTCCTTATTTCCCTATAAACACTTTCTAATGTCTTATGCTTTTTTGCCATAGAGTTGCGTATGTGGTTTTTTTCCAGAAACAAATGAGAAGGTTTAACTTTTTTTTACAAAGTTGGACTTACCTCCGTGGAGTTTTTGGTTTTTGGAAAAAAAATACTGCATGATTATCATTTAGCAGAAAAGTCTGTTTCGGTAAAGGTAAATGATATATGGTAACAAATAAAACAAGTTTTCTTCTAATATTTTTTAATCGATACAATGCAGTTATACACAATTTATCTAACTATAGTAACCATGCGAAGTAATTAATTATAAATAATATTCAAGTCTTAAAAATATTTTTATTATAACACTTTTTACTGTGGATTCTTACATATCCGAAAGTAATGCTGTATTGATATGAAAATTGTCTAAAAATGAGATTATAATATTGATTTATTAATATTGCAATGGCTTATATTTCCGACTAGATTATTATTATCAATATAATTATTACTATTTTGTAAATTCATAAATTAAATGTTGCAGATAATAAGACATAGTTTTGGTTCACACATAATAGAATACTATTGAAATGAAAAGTTTGTATTTTCATTTATTTTGCTAATTACAGCTTAACCAAGAATATAAAAAATCTGTGACGTTCCTTTATACGCAAAGTTAGTTACATATTTTTCAGCAATAAAGCAAAGATTTTATATTTCTGGTCAGAATATACTGTTTGAGCTGGGATATGTTTAAGCACTGAAATATAGGAGTTTCACACATTAAATTAGTGCCTTAAAATAGTTGCGTTGTATTAGATCTATTTATTTGATATTAAGCTTTTTTTGGCTACTTAATAACAAGTGCTATTAGGATCAATTATAAAAAATAATAACTATTTTGAACATAACCAGGAAGTTCAAATTATCTATGTACCTTGATTTCTCTGAGTATTTTAAATACGAAGTCTTATTTAAAAAAAAAAAATATTTTTAAATTTCTAAATGTGATGATTCAAAAAATAACTTTAAAAAATTCTATTTATTAGTATTAATAAATTCTTTATAATATTTTAAGACACAAAATTCGTTAAACAAAAAAATATTACCCCAAATATTAAAACTTCGCTTACAAAACCAATTAGATCTACAACTATATTATACAAAAAAAAAAACAATTTCGAGTCTAAATACAGGCAAGATACAGTAATACTAAAAATTGTTAATAAAACACATTACATTTTAATTAAACACAATATTAAATGCACACTAAAACCTGTCTACAAAACATTTGTGACAATATGACACTAATTTGAACACACCTAATAAATAAAAAATAACTTAAATATAAATTTATCAAATATGAGTTACATATGGCAGTTTATTAAATAAATTCAAACATTTATTTATTTAAAAACAATGTCATTCAGCAAATGAGTACTTTAGAGAAAATTTTTTGTGTTTAAAATTATTAAAGTTGCCGTTTCTTGACTAATATATTCAGTGTCAAAATTCGCTAAGGTTTAATATATCCAAGCGATTTAAATGGACATTTTTGTAATATTTCACCAAATATCACTTAGTCCAACGATTAATTTGGTGGGATCATCGTCTTAGTAGGCAAATGTAGCAATTTTAGAATTAAATTTCGAACTCTTACTTTAAAAATCATATTTTGCTAACAAAAATCCAGTTATTTGCACATAATTTCGTCTTTCAAGATCAAATACATTGTTGAAGCAATAATCCATATAATGCTAGCCGCCAAGAAAGCAAAAGAAAAAATTATATTTTAAAAAAAGAACGTAAAATGTGGAAGAGAAAAATGTGAAGCAAGCGATGTTACAATATTTTATTTTTAACAAATGCAAATTTATCAATTTCTATAAACAGTGTGTTTTTATCAGTAAAAAAAAGAATAATTTATCAATGGTACTAGTTTACATTTCATATATAAGTTTATCGAATTCAATTGGAAAGCATTATTTTTAAAATCTTTTCATTTTAGTTTTCATAAATAAAAATCCCACTTTAAGTTACATAAAATTGGTTACGCGCCAATTTTTTTATGCAATATAAAAAAATCATTAATAATCAAAATTAAGTGACCATTGAACCAAACTTAATTTATTAAAATATGAATTTTATTTTCAGATCAATGAAATATTTAAAAATAATCAGATTTGTGCTACAGATTAAACGAAGAATACTTGAGTGCAGATATTCATAAATTTATGAACATAACATTTATTTCTATTACATTTTTTTAAATTGTTTTTTGTTGTATAAATATTAAACACATAGTTTTTCATACCCATACTCCATGAGGATTCTTATTAGTAGGGGCTGCATTTTCCAACTGTCTCGGAGAACCTATTATTCTACGAGCACTACCAGCTTTACATGAACCTGAAAATACATTATTTAGAATAAATATTACTTATTACAATTATTAGGATAAAACTATTTTAAAAATCATCTTGAATCATGACATAATATTTTTTTTTTATCTATACTAATATAATAAAGCGTAAACATTGTTTTGTTATGCATATTTTTATCTCTATACTTGCGACACGGTATAGGCTGTACATTTTCACGCAATGTATTGTAGGAGGCGAATAAATTTAAAAAAATCGTCATGCAAACGACAAAAACAACCAAGGTTGCTATGATAATGGTAATTAGCAAAGACCTTTGTTATCAATGATGCATTTTAATTTTTATATTTGCAAATGAAAGTTTAACAAATGTAAAGAATAAAATGATATTTTTAATATGCAGATGAAGATAACGGCTAGTTATTAATAAAAATTGTACCATCTAAGGGATGTCTCAACTCATCCACGCTGCCGGTCAAACTTTGAAGATTTGCCTCTTTCATTTCCTGCACTAAACGTTCCACTTGACGTTTCTTCTCCATTATAGCATTTTCTAACACTCCCACCTGTATATTAAAAAAAATAATAAAAACGCATCATGTTAACGTCATAACAAAATAGAATTATAAACCGAGTGTGGCTGAAACTTGTTCACATTTTCCAAGGAAATGCAAGCAAGTTAATAAATATTTATTAAGTATGAAATTTAGTCTTCAACCTACTAATTTAGTGTAATAAAACAAGCAGATTTTTAAATTGTAATTTTATTTGACTCTTTGGCTAATTTGCGGACCAAATAAACATTCACACTAAATAAAATAAATAAACAACACTTTTATTGCCATAAAAAATAATTATAATTTACCTCTCTTTTTAAATTTTCAGCCGTAAGATGATTGATTTCTGTAGCATGCTTTGCTTGTTGTATTTGAGTCTGTAGATTTTCCATTTCCGCTAACATCGAACGCTCTAAAGCCTGTCTGAATTAAAAAAAAAACTGCATTAAGTTACATTCATATTTATAAAACGAAATTTCTTTTTTAAATGTTAATCTGAAAGCATATTGGTATATTATCAATTGATTTAGAATCCAAATAATATTGAAAATCGTAAGTTTGGATGGATGGATGGATGTTTGTTTTGAGTAGTTTAGACTGCTGAACGGATCTCAATGAAATTTGGCATAGATGTAGAACATAGTCTACAAGAAAACATAGTTATTTAATATTTTTTTTAATATCACGCGGAAAAAATCGCGAGTAAAAGCTACTCACTCATAAATAATAGTTTATGTAGCTTTTCTAATGATGTGAATTTTCTCGGACAATGATTACTGAAAATTGAATGCATCAAGCCTTTTTATACAATTTTTTTTGAGTTTATTAAGACATACCTATTTTCTTGTTGTCTAGAGTTAATAATCCTTTGTTCATTGTGAATCTCTTCCATTAGTTTGCGTATCTTGTTCTTACACTGCAGCAGTTCAGTCTCGCAGTTTGCCAACTTGGAGCGAACTAACACAATCTCTGACTTGATTGTCTTCTCATTCTGCTTAACTATCTCACTCTCTTCTTCCACATAGTTTAATGCTTGCACCTAGTAAAAAAAATTCAATCAAAACACAGGCTGTTTTTCTTTTAATCCTGTGTAAAAACAATTAACCTAACCAAAGTACATATAAACAAATTCAATTATAATAGAGTTTCAGCTGAAAAAGAGATCTTAAATAATCATATATCTTTATTAATCTATATTATAAATGCAAAGTGTGGATGGATGAATGGATGTATGGATGTTAGTTATTACATATTTAAAACAGTTAAACCAATCTAGCTGAAATGTAGCATAGAAATAAAACACACTCTGGAAGAAAACATAGGTTTTATGAAGATTTTTTTTTTACTTTAGTGCAAAAAAAGATGATGGCTACATATAGGGAATTATACAGATAAAAGTGCTTTTATATACTTCAGTTACCTGTTCTGTACTTATCCTCAACTGATTGTCGGCTGAACTGATCTGTTGCTGAAGCAATTCCACCTGCCGTTCCTGTTCCCGACCTTTGTTCTCCCAGTAACCGATTTCAGCATCATACTTAAATAAAAATAATCAATTCACTTTAGTACAAGTTACTATACTACGAAAGTATGCATTACTACACAACTGAACAAGAAAACCAATATAGAAGTTTTCTGTAATATCTATTACCAATTAAAAAATGTAGACTCATTTCCAATAATTTAGGCGGGAGGACCTTCAAGAGATTGAATAGGTACTTAAAAAAGCTGGTACCTTCTTTTAAACTCATCGTCAAATTAATGCGAAAGTTAAGATGGATGGATGTTTGTTAGAGTCTGTAGCCCAAACTGTAGAACTAATGTCGACGAAATTTGGTTTAGATGTAGATCGTAGTCTGGAAGAGCACATAGGCTGCATACTTTTTTTTAAATTCCATGCGGTCAGAGTCGCGGGCGAAAGCTAGTAGATATGTATTTACATTTCATTTTTTATTTAGTATTGAAGGTTGAACAGTAATTATTATTTCTATAACATACCTTAATAAGATCAACTTGTTGACTGGACAATTTCTCTCGTTGATAATTCACAAGTGAAACTAATTCTCTATACTGGCTGTTGTATGTTACAGCCTCGGGGCTCCGTGATTCAGGGCCATCTTCTGGTAAGTTCACCGGAGACATGAGACCACGTCGACTAGGGGACTTCCTTGTTTGGGGGGGCGGCGGCGATCGGTACGGAGGCGGTGGGTCTCTAGATGTCATTGAATTTTCAGTTTTAGGTTATTTTTTTATTAGTAGGGTAGTGTTTTGTAGGTTTATATCCACTTTAAGTAGTTAAAGATATGTAGAATGTTACAACAAATACTTAATTGGAAGGTAATTAAAGAGTTTAAAGTTAATGAAGTATTAGTAATCATTTTTTACTGTTTAAACATGTGAACAAAAATGGTGTTATCCAATTTAAAAAAAATACAATTATAAGGCCGTTCAATGGTTATTAAACATTTGGAATCAAAGAAAGTTTAATAGGAATATTAACTTTACCTGTAAGGTGGAACATCTTTAAAGACAGGACTATTGGACTCAGGTGGCTTAGCTTGTTGCACTCCCTTCACCACTCCTACAGGGTTCCCCGGGGATGTGTTATTCACATTGTTATTAAATGTAGGTGTTGTATTTGCTCTATTTGGTGAGTTTTGATTGTCATTAGGATTCGAATTATGACTCCTAGCGGGAATAAAAATTATCTTTAGTATTATACCAGGACACAAGTTTTTTTCCTTCACAATTCTCAACATCAATACTGTGTTATCTGGTATAGAAATTATGTCTTTAGTATGCAATATTGTACAGAAATAAAACAATGGAATGCATAGCAATAGTTGTGTAGTTTGTTTCAATAATATTTCTATTAAGACAATTAAACAAACCCATTTCCAATTGGTGACCTAGAATTATTTATAGGCTGCGATGGTTTTTGGTTACTGCTTGAATCAGATCTTCTTAATATAAATTGTATGTCATTAGAATATTCTCCCCATTTCATAAGAATCTGTAAAAAAATTAATCAAATTGTAATATACGAACTGAATATGATTGAAGTAATGATGACATCATTTTATTTTGAAAAAACTGTTTAGTCCTACAATTGAATGACTTACCAATTAAAATAAAAGTGCTAAAAATCAAGATGCAAAGCATTTAAAGCACATACTTGAGAATTATTAATTTTATCTTTGTGGTTATACATAAGAAATATATATAAATAGAAAACAGTATAAACATACCTTTAGGGGATATTCCTGAGGTGCTAAAAGTCGTTCATTATTCCTCCATCTCTCAATTAAAGTGAATCGGCCCACTTTCCCAGTGGCATGAGCTAGAGCAAAGACTACATCCTAAAAATATATTTTTGACTTTGAGTTAACCTTTCCAATGTTTACATAAATACTAATATAGATTTCTTTAAAAAATAATATAAACCTAATCGTAACCTTAGGAGCAACTTCTATATATTAACTTTATTTTGTAAATGTACGTAAATAGATATCAACATTCGCAATACTTTTTAGCAATGTATATTTCCAGGCCGCTTGTTAAAAATTCAGTCTTATGATATAAATACTGATTAGAAATTATGGGAAATGATACTCACTTGGCATGTAGTAGTCTCCGTCACTCCACAAACAATCCTTTGTATTCCTTCGACCCAGACCTTCAACTCCATTAATTTTAAACAATCCACTTAAATTAACTCCAGCTTATCTAACTTCGACACCATCATACAAGTTATTCACCCCGTCTGTGACTTTTTATAATGCAAAATAAACTAAAACGCCAAACAAACATTCCAAAAACACAAAAGAAAATAAGCTTTCGAAGTGGGTTATGAGAAAATACGTTCGGAAATTGGTCACTTGACATTTGAAATGTCGTTAGTGAAAACTAGAGTCTCGTTCAAAATTAATTGAAACCAAGAATAACTTTGCACACATTACACACATTAGGTAAATCCTAATATGAAAGTAAAATATTTAAAATGTTGTTTTACGTTCTTATAGAGGTTTTGATTTTCTTAAATGAAAGCTAACAGAGTTCGGTTCGACAGTACTGCCAGGTTTACACTTTGCTAGTACAGTTGGTTTTATTTAGCACATTCAAAAAACTTCAGTAGTTCACACACATTTTTCATGTAGGTCCTATACTTTAGCACACGTATGTAAGCTGAGAAAGCAAAAATGCCCTATTTTCAACCGACTTTTTGCTACTTTTTATTAAGAATAACTCAAACGTAACCAATACCAAACCAATGCGACTTAGGGTCCTTCAATAAGCGAGCATATCATTTCATCATAGGCCGGCAACGCATATGTGGTTCCTCAGGTGTTACGGATGTCCATGGGCGTCTTTGACCACCTCGGCGTTCTCGCAGCTCGTTTGCCCCCTTTTATTATAAAAAAATATATTTGCATTGCTTAAAAACAAAATTACAATTTTTATCTGTTTGTCTTGATCGTTTTGAAGGTAGTTGTACCTGAAGGTATCTCATGTATGTGAGAGTAACATAGGCTAATTATTTTTAATTCCACGCTGACGAAGTCGTGAGTGAGCAACAATAGTGTGTCGTTCTATTAGTCCAAAAACAAAATTGAAATCTAATTAATTTCAACAATAAAATACTTTTTATTAAAATGATAATTACATTTATCTTAATCGATATCTTGTTCGTGCAGAATGATTTTGTTACGTCATAGTTTTAGTTTCAGTGATCATTTTGAAAGTGAGGGAATTAATAACAGGTGCCCATACTTCGGTACTTCAAACAATTACATTGATCCGGATACCTTTCTACGTTTTGTTTCGCTGAAAGTCTTCCGTATGGTATCCTATAAAATGTATCAATATTGTACGATTTGTATCACAGTTATTTTTGCCTTAACACACCAAACATCTACTAACAAGATGTCTCTCAGAATCGTGGTGAGTTTTAAAAAACATATGTAAAAAGACGTGATAGTGTTTCGGTTAGCTAGTTCGCCTTTAACTATACAGAACATAGTTCGAATCTTGAAAGCACCAGTACAAAACTTATAGTTTCATGGTGTCGTTTTAATATTTTATTTATATGTTAAAGTCTACAAAAAACCTAAGAACTTTTTGTTTTAACTATTGATTCTTTCACTAATAGACTAGATTCTAATAGAGTGAACACTAAGTACGTCATATTTTATTTCATTTGTTACATTTTCTTTGTAGATGTTCGTTGGCCTGATTACCGTAGCAACTGCTACCGAGACAGCGGACAAGAGAAGCGCGTCCTGGGACGTAGTCAGTTCCGGATGGAACCCGGCTAGTGGTGGCAACGGAATACCTGCCACGCTGGTTATAAACAGCGGTGGAAACGGTATCTATATTTATAGATAGTTTATGAAATGCTATTTTAGAATAACAATATTTTGCATTATTTAAATTCAATTATTAGCCGTCGCCCGCAAGTCCCTGAGCCTGAAATAAAAAAAAATGGACATCTTGCTATAAAGTGCACCACACTTTATTTTTAATCGCACATATTTTATTTCAGAAGGCTGGTCGTCAGACTCAAGCAGCGATGTCGCTGGCGCGGTGGCAGCTGCCAAGGCTGCGGCGAGCGCAGTGAAGGCTGCTCAGCAACAGGTTGCCGCCGCCAAGCACGCCGCACTACATCAGCAAGAGGTAGCCGGCGCCAAAGAGGCCGCAGCCGCACAAGCCGCGCATAAAAGGTATCATCATCTCGGCTCAACGTTATAAACCTTAAATTATGTCCTGTGCATCAACTTGTGGGAGGCTCTCCAAAGAATCAAATACTCTAACCTGTTACAACTAACATAATAGTCGCATTTCGATTTGTGTTTTGAGATAGCACATGTGATACTCTTGTAATACTGGATGATGACAGTACGTTAAAAACACATTAGAGAACTCGTATTTATCGAGTATCTTTTGTATTTATCGAGACGTTTGTGAGTTTGTCAACAGAAAAGTTTATAACGGCTAAATCGGTTTGAATACGGTTTTTGCTTTAACATTCCTGTAAGTTTCCCTTGATACAGTGTGTATTTCGTCTCGATCTGTGTATAATTAAATATATTAATGACAAGGAAAAAGTAACTAACCAATTTATTTTGATATCACGTGTATTTCGTTCATTAGCGAGGAGGCATCAAGGCGTGCTCGTGCGCGTGCTCTGGAAGCGGCGCAGTCCGCGGTGCACGCGCAGGCGCGGCTTGCGGCGGCCAAGGCTCGCGCCGCAGCCGCGCAGAGAGTCGCCGCTACAAGGGAAGCTGAGGCAGCCAAAGCTATACAACAAGCTGCTCAAACACAGGCTGCTAGGCTGCAGAACGCCGGTAAGATTTATTAGAAAGGTGGGAAAAGAATGTTCCACCTGATGTTAGGTGATCAATACTTACAATAGCCGCGACCGCAATTTACTCTTGAGATTTTTTTATTATTATTATATTATAAATGTGAAAGTTTAGATGAATGGATGGATGTTTGTTGGAGTGTGGAAACGGCTGAACGGATTTCGATGACATTTGGTATAGATGTAGAGGATAGTCTGGAAGAAGACTTGGGCTACTCACTTTCTTTTTTTTAATTCTGCGCGGTTGGAGTAGCGGGCGATAGCTAGTAGCTCTGTATGTACTAATTTTTCTAAATACTTCCTTCTCCAGACATAGAATCGCTGAAACTGTCAGTGCTGCATAGTTCGGGGGCCGCGGGCGCGGCGGGCGCGGCGCAGCACGCAGCGACCTCTGCCGCCGCCGCGTTACGACCTGACAGCCAGCGCTGGAATGACTGGCAACCCAGTGCCTGGGACTGGTGAATACAACGACAAATACCCCATTTGTGGAAAAGAGTTACATCTTACATCTTATATGATAGATATTCTTTTCAACAAATGGGTCGAATCTGATTCTGCGAATTAAATTGTGTCATAATACTTATTTGAAATTAAAAAATGTTTATTTAGTAACCTTTACGATGTTATATTTTTAGTATTACCGTCATATTTTCATCATTCTTGTTAAAGGCATATAAAGATAATTAGGATGAAAGCAGTTGTTAGTAGATTTATGAGGATATATTGAAGACCATTTTGATACAATTTATTAGCATATTGACCTATGTGATTGACGAAACTGTCTTTTTATTGTTGTAACAAATATTCACTAGAGACCAGTAGTTTTTACGTACAAAACTAGATGGCGCCACCTGTATTTTAAAACACGATGTTGTATCACATGCGCCTTATGTTAAGTCATTTCAAGTACATTACGCAAATCGGAGAAGATCAGAAGATCAGAAGATTAGAAAACAACAATTATTGTTAAAATTACTGTCTTCTCAAGTTAGTTCCTACGACGCGATTCTGAGTATATTAGCTTGCTGTCTTGTGACTAATTTTATTCAGAATTTGCACTGTAGTGTAGTTAAATTAGGTTGCTTGCGGTTAGTGACGGCCTAATTTAGCAGATAGCCGCTTGCTGTATTGTGACGGCTATCCGTTGTTTATTTTGAACATTTTTTGTATCTGCGTGTGGTTCCCAACCTGGGGTCCGCGCGCAGACCATTGTCATTGGTGTAATAACCAATAAACGACTGTTTTTGCCACATTGGTTGTTTTCTTTGGCTGTTTCGGCTCAAGATACCCCTGCTCCGTTACATTGTTATTTTTCTAATACTTTTTTGTTTTTGAATACATGAGTACTTAGATTTATAATTCATTATTCGATAATTACTATATAAGCGTAGAAATATTATGTGCATTTTTATGTTCTATTAATTAATGAACTTTTCAATATTTTGTATTATGTATGCTTTTATATAAGAAATTTTAAATGGTAATTAGTTACATGCATTTTAATACTTTTGGTGTTTTAAAATAAAAGAGACAGGAATTTATACGCATATTTGTAATATATTCTTAAAAGGTATCTGTTCAATTTTATCTTTTGTTATTTTGTATTATTTTTCAATTTTAATAGATTGCTTTAAAAAAAACTTTGTTTTAATAATACACCTTTCTTTCTCACAAACGAAGCAAAAACGTCGTTCATTTATTCAAACGAGTTTCTTTTTGAAATAAATTAGTTAAAAGCGCTTGGAAAATGCTATTGTTTTCGATTTGTATACATATAATAAAATTGGAATGTCTGTTTGTAATATCAAAGGAAAAATTCTACATTTCGGGAAGATGTATTACCGTTTATGATAACGAAAATCGCATTTAAAAAATTTTTGTCCGTCTGTCTGTCTTTCCGCAAGCTGCGTTTGTTCCGGGTGATCTCCGAAACGGCTGCGCCGATTTAGACCGGACTTTCACTGAAGGATGCCTGACATATAAGGGCATGTTATAGGCTACTTTTATCTCCGTATTGCGTGGACGAAGTCGCGGGCAACAGCTAGTATTAAATATTATCCATACATAAGTCACAAAAGTCTTTCGAATGGCTCTAATCGATTAGTTCCCACTGCGACTGCGCGGTTGCCATGGTGACACGAGATGCAAGCTCCATCTGCCGTTGACATCCAGCATCCGAAATATGGTCCTTATGTAACACGCCTTTAATTTTAATAAAAAATTATAGCAAAATGTTGTGAACGCAAAAGAAACTGGAAAACTAACGGGTGAGTAGTACCTATTTCGAACTTATCAAATAATTAATAGTGAGGTTGTGTGATTTTTAGAGATTTATATTTAACATCTCAAATTAGGTTAAGAATTTCTTAAGAATTTTTATCACGATCGTTATATTGTTTAAATTAACACTTGTACTATCTTTTGACATAAAAGTAATTGCCGTTAGTTCCATAAGATAATTTAAAATTAAGTTAATAATAAAAAGTTTCTTTAACATTTTAATTTCCTTCAATTTTTAAAAAAATACCTTCAAAAATAATTATTTATTACTTCACCCGCGACTCCGTCAGCGTGAAAATAAAAAAAAAAAACAAAAGTACATCTAAACTTTCGCATTTATAATATTAGTAAGATATTCTTTAATGATGTGTCTTCTTTTAGGATGTGGTTACCCGTGATACTCGTTTTGACAAGCAGCAGTTATCTAACTAATGCAGAAATAGACCGTCGGCGTTTCTCAAACCCGACCTATTACAATGTCGGTGGGGTTCTGTCTAGTAACGAGTCAATTGCATTCTTCAAGGACACGATATCCGTGAGTACTTGAAGTGGTTTAAAACCTATTTCCATTAAGCAATTAGTCGCGTAGAAGCTAAGTCGCAATGTGAAAATAGCCACATAAGAAAAAACAAAACACGACTTTAATCTGTGATTTCTTTTTTTGTATCTAGAATCAATCTCATTTATCGAAAGTATTTTTATAACCTTAAAATCTTTCTAAGGACAATTATGTATTTCAGAATCTAAATTTCAAAGACCAATATGTTCCGCGCGGCGTCACATACCACGATTACTCTATTTTGATGGACCCCAATCCTATAAAGACTGCTTTAAACGTTTGCAAGGATTTAATTGGACACAGAGTAAGCATTTTCATAATACTTGCTTTTAATAGGTAATTGTTTAGCAAATTACATATGTTCATTCTAATTGCCAGGTGTACGCAGTGATCGTCTCCCATCCACTTACCGGTGAGCTCTCCCCAGCTGCGGTATCGTATACGAGCGGGTTCTATCATATACCGGTCATTGGTATATCATCCAGAGATTCCGCATTCTCTGACAAGAACATCCACGTGTCATTCCTCAGGACAGTACCGCCGTACTCCCATCAGGCTGACGTCTGGGTGGACGTATTGAAGCATTTTAACTACATGAAAGTTATAGTCATACACAGCTCGGATACGGACGGCAGAGCTATACTTGGCAGGTATGTGACATGGAAACTTAGAACCACAAAACGTTATTAATGGAAAAGTAGTATTGTTGCATTCAGAGACATTAATGATTACTTAAGCTGCTCCTTAGTAATATCCAACACTAAAGTTTCACTTCCATGTCTACTATATTAGTTTTCGGATGTTTGAAATGCAAATATTTGATGTGACTAATTTCGCATAAAACATGAACATATACTACCAACTAAAAATCTATGGTTCTTTTGAGATCACAATAACGTCATAGAATTGAAGGATTTATACACGCATTAGAAGAAAAATTGCTTGAATTAATATGTTTGCAAGAACCTACTACGTCAAGTCTGATTTTTACATACTTGTTAGATTTCAAACAACATCGCAAAGTATCGACGAGGACGTAGACCGCAAGGTTGTAGTGGAGCAGGTGATAGAGTTCGAGCCGGGACTAGACGCGTTTAGCGACCGGCTCATCGACGCCAAAAGCGCGCAGGCTAGAGTCTTCCTCATGTATGCTAGGTAAGAATTATTATGTACATATATAATGGCAAATGTGATCTGTTGATGTCATTAAGTGTGAGGAAAATGCCAACAATAATTCATAGAAACTTCTCCAGAAGGGTTTCATATGGCTTGATACATTTGGGTTGGTTTGGGCTTTGGCTTCACATATATGTCAATTGCCATAAAAAAGACTGGTATCGTAAGAATACTAAATCTTATTTCGCAGTAAAACTGATGCGGAGATAATATTCCGCGACGCGACATACCTGAACATGACGACGACGGGCTACGTGTGGATGGTGACAGAACAGGCGCTGGACGCCGCCAACGCGCCTGAAGGACTGCTCGGCCTACGCCTCGTCAATGCCACTAACGAACACGCGCATATACAAGATTCTATGTAAGTCTTCATAAAGTTTAAAAGTAAAGAGAAATAAACGCCAATAGCCTAATGGTTTGGACACGGACCGATCTTGCGGTCGAGGGTTCGAATCCCCGCCATTCGAATATTGTTGTGGACCATATCGTAGCACAAGTTTAGAGCTTAGTTGGGATGGTTAAAGGAAATATTAGTAAACTAGCTGTTGAATTAGTAAAACACAATATAAAATATAGTCTATGTTACACAGTGATATACGAGTAGGTAAACGTTTATTTAAATCGTCCCAGAATTTTTTGAGTTATTACAATACATACAAAAATACAAATCTTTCCTTTTTATAATATTAGTATAGATTAACACACAATTCTGCTAATATAAAAAAAAAATAACTAACTCAATTTTCTAGCTATGTCTTAGCTTCTGCAATACGTGATATGAACAAATCAGAGGAGATCCACGCGCCGCCGTCAGATTGTGATAATTCTGGTTCTATCTGGACGACTGGCCGGTTGCTCTTCGACTACATACGTCGTCAGAGCTTAGAGAGTGGCGCTACTGGACACGTGGCATTTGACGACCATGGAGATAGAGTGCATGCGGAGTACGATATGGTGAATGTACGCGCGCAAGGGGAGCATGTCGCTGTCGGCAAATATTTCTATTCTAAGGTAAGCTTACAAATATATAGCCTAATTAAATGTACATAAGGTGTGGTTTTGACTATTTGAACAGACGGCAGACTATTGTTATATAATTGTTGTTGTTGTTCAGGACACACAAAAGATGCGCCTAGAATTAAAAGAACACGAGATCATCTGGATGGGACGAAGCTCATCGAAGCCCGAAGGTTTTATGATACCAACACATCTTAAGGTAAAAAACATTAATAGAAGTCATAAATCACAAAAAGCTAACTATCGCAGAACCGAACTGGAATCAAAGCTGAGGAACTCGAAAGACTTGAACACAAAATGAAGCGTAGAGTTTGCTTTACGTTAGATTCGAATTGGATTCCGCGACCAAATCTTGACATAGTCCAGATCGTTTTATTAAGGATCGCTTCAACTCCTCTTTAGGTACGAATATATACTTATCATCATCATCACCACTATACGTCCCCTCTAAGTGCTCGGAGCCTTCCCTAAATAAGGAGTGACTAGACCATAGTCAACCATGCTGGCCCACTGCCGGAACTGTCTAATGTATACTTAAGAATAAAACTAACTATACCATTGTCAACACAGGTGCTAACAATAGAAGAAAAGCCATTCGTGTACGCGCGTCGTGTAGACTATGAAGGGGACTGTACCCCAGAAGAAATACCTTGCCCGCACTATAACACAAGTGATGACATTGGTGAGTATCCAATTTTACCAGGTGTAATTGGAAGATTAATAAAATCTTTATTACCAACTTAAACAAGTTAAATTATTATCAAGAATAGTTATTAATAGCTTTAAATTATGTTTCACGATCTAGCGATACATCTCTCCCACTCTCTCTATCTCACTCTCTTTCTCTCCGGATCGTTTCCTCATTCCTGAGGTTGGCGACCACTCTCCTTGACCATCTCTCGAAGGGTGTTTCTCCACTCTGTGCGATTCCCTGCGAAATGTCAGCAAATGTCATATAGTGGGATAAAACTATAAATTTAATCCAGTTTTTCCTCTACTACGTTTAGTATCTTATTTATTTTTAATAAATATATATCTCTGTCCACAGACCGTATGTATTGCTGTAAGGGTTTCTGCATGGATCTGCTGCGCTACTTGTCCAAGGCCATCAACTTCACCTATTCGCTAGCGCTGTCCCCTGACGGACAGTTCGGGCACTACGTGATACGCAACCTCTCCGTACCTGGAGCTAAGAAGGAATGGACTGGTCTTATTGGTATGCATCACACAGACTATCCAAACATTATTTGGTATTTCAATTATTATTTAACAGTATTAAAACATTTTTACATCAATTCTTACTTGCTTTAAATTAAATGGCTTGACTAGGACAGTACAGTGCACTATGAGAAATCCAAAATGACCGCCGTCACAAACTGGCGAATGAGATACGTATTTTTTACAAAACCATTAACCACCCCGATACAATCTAGTGTACAAGTAGAATTTAGTACACTAGTTCAATCCAAGATGGCTGTGATTTCAAAATGGCGGATATACATGAAAGAAACTCACTAAATGAAAGGGTTTACTAAATGATGTTACGTTGTAAAAAGTTTTAACTAGCATGGCACGCCTTTTCCTTATTTGTATGAATAAATGAATATTTTGTTTTTATCAACAGGAGAATTGGTTTACGAGCGCGCAGATCTGATCGTCGCTCCTTTGACAATAAATCCTGAACGCGCTGAATTTATAGAATTCAGTAAACCATTCAAGTATCAAGGTATAACAATACTCGAGAAAAAGGTAAACTTTTTAGTTTTCTTAATCTTATACACTTGACTATCAGATATTTTGATTGAAGCAGATAAGACAAGAAAGATATCTATTTTTATGGCGGATGGCGAGTTCGAAATGAACTCTCTGTGTTAGAGATAGCTTATAAAACCGTTTATAGTCGCACTTTTGAGTATATTGTTTTCATATTAAACAACTATTTGGGCCTATACATAATAAGAGTACTTTTTAAAAGAAACATTAGGTTCCAAAACGACAAATGTGTACTTATTTCTGAACATCCTGTGTAATCCGTTCAACAATTCTTTTAAAAAATATCTACACAAACTTCCTTTACAGCCGTCTCGTTCTTCCACTCTGGTATCATTCTTGCAACCATTTTCCAACACGCTATGGATACTAGTGATGGTGTCAGTCCACGTCGTGGCGCTAGTGTTGTACCTGCTCGATAGATTCTCGCCGTTTGGAAGATTTAAATTAGCTAATATCGATGGCACGGAAGAAGATGCTTTGAATCTGTCCAGCGCTATCTGGTTTGCTTGGGGTGTGCTGCTGAACAGCGGCATTGGTGAAGGTAGACTGTTTAATTATTGTTGTAAATAGAAGACAACTCAAATTAATCAAAAAACAGACATATTCGTTGGTTATATTTATAAGATAAAGTAAATGAATCAAATAAATCACGATGTGTGTCAAAGGCGGAGAACCGCATTCTATGGAAGGTATTGCGAAAGACCTATATCCAACAGTTGGCAGATGAAGGCTGATGTTGATGACGATGAACAAATAACGAGATTAACGAGAACCAGACGGAAAAATACAGATATAACCTTATCCAATATTGTATCTTTTTACATCCATTCATTAAATAAAAAAACTATACTTTTGGACCCGGTAATTCGAAATACAATCGTAATATTTCACTTTATCTTTCACATTGATTGCTGTTAAAAGGTGAGAGGTGATAACTTCGTGTGACCAGGTACGCCCCGGAGCTTCTCAGCGCGTGTGCTGGGCATGGTGTGGGCGGGATTCGCGATGATCATTGTGGCCTCGTACACCGCCAACCTCGCCGCGTTCCTCGTGCTCGAGCGCCCTAAGACCAAGCTCACAGGAATCAATGACGCTAGAGTACGTACGTAGTTACGTAGTTAAAAGTTACAAAAGACATAAAAACTAAACTAATATCCCAATTGCTATGTGTGAGATATTGAGTTGATTCTTAAGAACATCCTGTAGAATAAATCTATGTTTAGTATTGCATTTTTCTAGTTACGCAACACGATGGAAAACTTAACATGCGCTACAGTAAAGGGGTCGGCAGTCGACATGTACTTCAGACGGCAAGTGGAACTATCCAACATGTACCGTACAATGGAAGCTAACAATTACGATAATGCTGAACAAGCCATACAAGACGTTAAGAACGGGTAAGAGATTGTTTATTTAAAAAAAAATTAACGAGCTAATATACCAAGATTCTGTTGCCCATCGAAAGCTTTAATTATATGTTAATTTGGTTTCTATTTAAGCGACCTAATCGCAATAGAAATCTTTAGATCGATCTCTTTCTAAACAATAGATCATTTTATCTAAACTTGATTTCGTAACATGTAAACAAATTTTTATACTAGAAAGTAAGGGGGGAATTTTGTCACAAGCGTCACAAATAGCACATAAACATTATCTTGGTTCGCAGTAAGCTGATGGCATTCATTTGGGACTCCTCGCGGCTGGAGTTCGAGGCAGCTCAAGACTGCGAGCTGGTGACGGCGGGCGAGCTGTTTGGCCGCTCGGGCTACGGCGTCGGCTTGCAGAAAGGCTCACCCTGGGCTGACCTTGTCACACTCGCTATACTCGACTTCCATGAAAGTGAGTCTTATTACCTTGGATTAGAGAAAATTGAATGCCTTTTAACCCCACGCCCTACTTAATGTCTTAGAATTATAATTATGATGTCTTAACAGGTGGTATCATGGAATCTCTAGACAACCAATGGATCCTGCGTAACAACATGCTCAACTGCGAGGAAAACGAGAAAACACCGAATACGTTGGGTTTGAAAAACATGGCGGGCGTTTTCATACTCGTGTTGGCGGGAATTATCGGCGGGATTGTGCTGATTGTGATTGAGGTGGTTTACAAACGTCATCAGATACGCAAACAGAAGAGGATGGAGATAGCGCGGCACGCCGCCGACAGATGGCGCGGCGCTATAGAGGTAAACCGCGCGAACGTCGCCAACAACCACGTCGCCCACAAACCGCAAATCGAAACAAAAATGTAAAACTAACGATCCCCTTGTCAAAACATTGTTAACGACCAATATTTCTACATATAAATTATTTTATATTCGCTTCTATACAAAATAAACGCGTTGCAATTTATTTGTAGCTTTTCGATTTATCTCATACTCTCTCCCTGCTGCGACGTGAAGTTGTAAGTAGTGATCATATTTACAACTCGACTACTTTAAGTATGCTCCTTACTGGATTACTGGAATATATCAACCCAGTATTCCCACCAAAATTAATGTGAGATTTATCCCACCTGCACTATCATGACTTCATTTAACAGATGCATACTCGAAGTACTCGGGTTGTATACATTTATGAAAACAGTTCATTATAATAACTCTGATATGTATTACAGAAACGCAAGTCACTGCGAGCGTCGATATTGCCGTCACAACGTCGCGTCAAGTCCAACGGCGTGAAGGAAGCTGGCAGCATCAGCCTGGCCGTGGACAGGGGTGTTAGGAGACGAGACGATCCGCGTATACCGAGATATCTACCCGCTTATACCCCTGATGTATCCCATCTCGTAGTTTAAATGCTACTGTAGATGTCCAATTCAATAGAAATAAGAAATTATCTTTAAAAAATTACCATTTTACTGCTGTAATCTCAGACTTGTTTGAATTATCAATTCAAACGCTATAACTTTCCAAAATAAATCTATAGACAATAAATTACATTGTGGAATGTGTAACTATAATTTCTCATTTCCATTAAATTGGACTGTTTAATCTATTATAGTTTATTGCTCGCAATTTCTCGCGAAATAATACGCGGTTCACACTTGGACAGTACAATACAGTAGCACTCTATAACTGGATTGTCAATCAATTGGCACAGGGCGAACACTGGTGCCAAGCGAGTCCTGGCAATTTATCAACCGCCGCTACTGTCCGACTGTATTGGCTAAGTGTGAACCGGGCCCAAAAGATGCATTAGGCATACACAATCTTACACAGTACACAGGTTTACTTCACATTGGGCCCACTTGATAACCACCTACGAGCCGCGATTTTTTAAATCGTAATACCAATGCTTACTGTTGCTTCAAAATTATCTTTTTGTGAACGTAAATATAAGTACCTATTTCTTGCACACTCCATTACTCTGGAGTCTGGTTTCAAATCTGTTGGGAATTGATGACCGGTCAACATGCATTTGTAACTATTTCCTTCAGTCCGGGACCGCTAATTATAGTTTTTTTTAAACCCAACCAATAAAACATTTATTAAAGATTATTCTAGAATATAAGGCTGTGACAAAACCCTAAAAAATAATAAATATAGAAACATATTCACGTAATTAATGTTTCGTAGTGGCACTATGAATGTTGTGTTGTGTGTTGTTATTATAAAAAGGCTATAAAATAGTAAGTTAGTAGGCTATAAAAGTGTATTAACTATTTTAGAGGTTATATCTATATGTATGGATAAACATAAAGACAAGAAATAGTATTTTTTGTCTATATAATAAAAATGTGCGCGTCAATAACCTAGATCTGCCAAAAACTGTTACAAAATGTGCATTATATATTTTGAACTCTGTTCAATTAATTTGGATTTAAAATAGGTATTATAAAAATATTTTTATTGACCCGTTTTTTTTTAAATCTAAAGTTATGGGTAAGTTCATTAACATTTTTACTTCTAATGCATTACAAAATTGAAATTGTATTTCTGGGTCTTTAATAGTGTAGTTGTAATGAAAAATAAACTGCCTACAGTAAATAATAAAGAGCTTGAATATATTCTAATGTTTTGAAATACAAACGTAAACTCCTTAGAATTTTATGTGTTCATAAAGTATAGTATGGGATATTTTTTTTGGTTATTTGTTTTATGAATATAATATTTTACAAAATAATTATGTAATTATACATGAGCAATAAACATTTTTATAATATTTAAATCTATTTTATTCATAGTATTAAGAACAGAGGAGATTTTTAATACAAAAAAAATTGTCCTTTATCCCTTTGAAGCAAGGTTTAATTTAATATTCACGATTTTAATATATAGCAAGCGTAAACTGCGGGCAAAGTAAAATTGAACCTTATTCAAATCCAATAAAGCTCATTTTTATTTGCGACAAATCTACTCTGCTCTATACTCCGGACTATGTTTATGGATCTTTGATGACAGTAAGAGCGCGCGCATTTTGACTACACTATCGCACTACTGACTATTCAGTCGCGTTTTGATTCCAAGAGGTTATATAGAGATACGTTGCACATTACTAGATTTTTAGTTGTGCAACTAAACGTTAAATTATCGACAATCGCAAAACACAGTTAATGTATAAAACAGTTGTCCGATAGTTTTGTCAAAGGTGTGCGGGCGGTCTAAGTGGTTTTAACGTATAACTTGACCAGGAAAAAATACAGGCGAATCATAACCTCCTTTTGGAAAGTAAGTTAAATATAGAAATACTGTCGCGGGGCGCCTCAATCGCCTTCATTACATCACTATTAATAATAATAATAATCATTTAATTCAGATATTGTGAGGTGTTAGTGTAAACTTACAAACTAGTGTTAGTAGAAAATTAACACCATTAAGTACGCGAAGAAATTATTTTCAATAATGGTGGTTTTAAATTTCTGGTCTAGTTATAGGCCTGCTTTACATTTTTTTCAATTTTTCATAGTTCGAGGATAGGGTTTCAAAATAAAACATCATTTCAACACATCTATATATTTACATAAGAATTTTAACAGTGCTGTGGGGATTGTACATTGTTATATAGCTATTATAAGCCGGACTTAGTACTGCCAGGACAAGGAACGTGTTGCAAGGTATTAGGCTGACTCTACACTGCGCACAGATAAATCTTTACATCGATTTATTTGAACATAGCATAGGATGCTGCAGTCATCCTTACACCTTACAACACTCAAATCCCTTTAAAATGCCACAGAAACAACTATTTAATAACTGGAAGATTTCAATTTCATATATAGTGCTAACATTAGGTAACATTTATTTGAAACATGAATATAATTTTATGAATATATCCTATCAACTACCCCTTCAAATATACGGGGATCTACAATGAATTGTATTAATTAAATATTTTATATATTAATTAAACATAAGGCGAAACTAATGTACGACACGTATTTCGAGTGTAGTGGGCGAAGCCAGGTCAGATAACATGCATGTTCACACATTAACCGTTTTCAAATATATAACTCAATTATTCATTCTCCAATATTACATTTAAAAGAGCGATACTATTGTACGCATTTATATTTTATATATAATTAGGCAAAGGAAAAAACACTTAGTAGTATTTAAATGTCTACTAATATAAGATTAAATAGTGAAAGTGTGCACCTAGTCGGTGAATTTACGGTTAGGGTTGCGTCCGAACAGCGCCGTGCGGATCTCCGGCAGCAGCTGCTGCGCTATGAGCTCCAGCCGCGACTCCAGCGTGTTGCAAATCTACGACACAAACAACACTCATAATACAAATTATTCATCATCATCATCATCATCATCATCATCCTCCTCCTCCTTATTCTACTCCCACAACCGCTCAACTGGTTTTTGTCCTCCACATAAATTTATTTTCCATCATCTCAGTCATCACTTCCTTCTTTATCATGTTAACATCAATTTCTAAGTCTACTACCGGTGTACCACTCATAACTAGTGTTCTTGCTACATGCGGTATACCACTCATTACTAAATTTCTTCTTGTTACATGCAATTCATTCTTCCTCATAAATAATATTATAAATGCGAAAGTTTAGATAGATGGGTATCCATACAGTATGGCTGGACGTTTGTTAGAGTGTGTAGCCTAAACTGCTGAATGGATCTAAATGTAATTTGGAATACATGTAGGGATAGTCTGGAAGAACACATAGGCTACCCTAGATATACATGCAGACAAAGTCAAAGAGCAACAGCTAGTCTATGTATAATAAGTTGAAATCCACGGTGTTCCACTTGTATTCTTACAAATAATCATTTAGAAAGCACAGAGTTTCGCAATTTCGTATTTTGTACAAAAACATTTAATTGGTTGTTGTTCCATGTTTCCTAAATTATAGTGTACATTACATCCCAATACATAAGCATTCTAAATAAAGAATTACTAAATAATGATACCTTGATGCGTCCTTTAGCGGCTATGAGCTCAATTCCACCGCAAGTGTCCGCAGCCAGATAGTTCTCAGCATCAACCTTGAGCTGGACATCCTTCTTGATCTTCTCCTTGTAGTCATTCTGAGCGCGGCCCAGGATCGCCTCCACTACACCCTTGTCCACCTGCCTCACGCGGAGGGTCACGGTTGGTTCAACCAGCTGAAACACAAATATGAATGCCACATTCAAAATCATTAATTTATGAGTAAATGTACAAATGTACAAATAAGGGAGATTATTGGAGATTTTAACTAATCATATTTATTCAACATTTGAGCCACTTTGACAGTGATAGATACCACAACCAGACATAAGACAGGAGCCAAGTAGAAGTAATTCCATGTTTATGATGTGTGCGCTTGCTGGAGGCCTAATTATAGTCCTCTTACCTTTCCCACACTTTGAGAATAAAGGGAGGTGGATTAGGAAGTGGGTCTGCATAGGAAATGGAAATATTCTCTTTATGTGCATTTTCTCTAAGGTAGACAACAAAATGATTTTTGAGTGGTGACCTGTAATAAATCTATGGTATCTGCAGGGTATATGTATTTGTGTAAAATTGCAATTTTTTTATGAAAATATCTAAAAAATGAATTTAAAAGTCTGGACTTCTACAGGAACTTGTACAAGAACAAAAAGGGAAATGGATTATTTTGTTTGTTTTATACATCTTAGTTTGGATCTGCAGGCAGTTGTGTATGATGGAGAACAAAGGTACAAGAGTAAAATAAAAGTCAATGTCTGGGATTACTGAAAACTATGATCACTCAACCATTGGTAGAATAGTAGTTTGTTAGTTTAGGACGCCAAAACTGTGTTAAATACTTAATAGTGTATACCTGGAACAGAGCCTGCACAATGAGAGTGACGAGCAGGTCGGAATACATCTTGTTGTCCTGAGGCACCTCGGCCAGGCGCTTGCGGGCCTCATCCAGTACTGTGCGCACATGATCCTCACGCACTTTGAGCACCTTCAGACGGGCCTGGTTCAGCATGTTCGATGAATTGCTGCATAGAAATAGACAGATATAATGTATTGCCTATATCTTGCTGAGGTTATGGTAAAAACTAAACATTGATGAAACCTCATTGAAAATATAACTTCTTCATGAATATCTCCTCAAATTAAAATAATTATGTGTTTAATGTTACTTGTACATAATTTTCATATGATTTAATAATAAGGATGTGCATTATTAATCTTAATTAAACAAAAATACAGAGACAGGTCCTTTGAAAGTAAGGGAAGAATGTATTGATTGACCAAAATACTGGCAAATATCCAAAGGGAGCAGAGTAGACTATAGATTTTAGGTATGAAAATATCATGATTGCTTATCCAGTATGAGTTTCAGTATATTTATGATTTATCTTATTAGAAATTTTACTTTTACTGTGTGGAATAATTTACAGTCTTCTATCAAACATTTATACCCCTACTTTCATTAACATTTCAATAGCTAGATAGCATTTAGTAGAAAATAATCGAATTCATATGATTTGATATCGTAGCATAGATTATAGAACGTCACATGCGCCGTAAAGGCGGCTCTCAGAGCAACTCAAGTATTAAGATTTTATATTAAAACCTACATCTTTTTTTGCAGTTCAACCTGCTTCTCTTTTTTCTCGTAATATTCCATGATCTTGAGTCGCTGTTGCTGCACAAGGCGACCCTTCTCAATGTTGAACTCTTCTTCGGCCTTTGCATCGATTTCTTCAGCCTTTTCATTGGCCTCTTGTTCGATGAAGGCCATCATATGCTTGATCTGGTAAAGAAAATGTACAAAAAGCATTAATATCAATCATTTTCTCTGTCAAATACTGTGCCATAAGTTGAAATCGAAAACACAAGAACAGCGACATGGATCAATCATTTTGACAAACTCATGTCTCTAATAGTCTGAAAACGTACTTAGTACATAATTTCTTGTTCTTTTATTAAATTACCTGCTTTTGAACATCTGCGTCGCTTAGCGCCATGGCTGATGGTTATTATTTAACACCACTAACACGTAAAACAACCGATGATGAGCCAGAAAATTAAAAACTGGCCCGAAGAAGTATGTCGACGCCTATCAGACGTGCTTCTTCAATGAACAATCATATGATCTCCAGTCTTGCCAGAACCATCATTAGATTCTCCCGCATAAAGTACCATAGATAACATTTGTCGTGGCAACTTTTAAAATTAAGGAATATTTTTCTTTTTAATAAATTACGAAAGGTTTTTGAATTTAGGATGATTTGGAAATTGAATAACGCAAAGTCACAGGTGTATAAAACGATTATGAACTGATTTGGTTCTTATGATTTAAAAAATGTAACGGAAATAAAAAGCTTAAAATCTTTGGAAACAAGGCCTAATTTTTAATTTCTAAAGCCCGGTTCGCACTTGGCCAGTACAGTTGCACAGATATGACAGTCAGTCAAAGATTGTGTGGACTTACTGGTCCAGTTAGCCATCATGCCAGCCAGTTGACTGGATAGTTATTGGCCGTTTCTGACCAACTGTACTGGCCAAGTGTGAATCGTACATTAAGTTCACAGTTCGTCAAAACAAAAAGAATACACCAAATTATTGAAGCCAAAAATTAAGAACATCGTATGGACAATTTATTTTTTTGTTTAAAGTACAAAATTGAAATTGTACATGTCATGTTTTTTGAGAATGCGTACTCATTTAGATGAAATGGAGCAGTAATTTAAACAATTTTTATTGCCCGATTTGTAGGTACATTGAAAATAGTTTTATAGTACTTTGAACCAAACTAACGTCGAATTTTCACGTGTAATATCCGTTTTATTAGGGAATACAATTAAAAGAGGATGGTATAATTGCTTCACTCTATAACAATTTGGTGGATTAAAATGAAAAAACGTCATTCAAAAAATAGCGATACATCTCAAAGTCAAAAGGTTTGTACAACATTGAAATAAATTGTTACATTATTCCTATTACTTGACTTTTTTTCGTTTCAACCAATTTTATGAATTAAATAACATAATTTTCCCATTAAAGTAAACATAAATTTGAAAGGGTAACTTTATTTCATTGGCCACACGAATTTTAGTCAAATAAGTATCCGAATTAAATTGGAAAATCTCAATTAAAGTTATATTTTTTTTTATAAAGTAGGTTATGTTTAACAACCAAAAAGTTATTAAAAAATAAATGTTAATGTGTTCAAAAAGTAATTGCAAGAGAATAGTGTAGGTTGTGTTTGTGATATTTTTTGGTTTCCGCTTTTATCAATATGGCCGCCAGTTGTTTAGAGTAATGTGGCGTTCGACAAATCTGAGTGAAATTAAGATTTATACTACCAACGTAAAGATGCATAAAGTTTTCAGCGTTTTATAGCAGTGTTTCATGAAAAGGCAATATTACGAATATTTTGACTTGAAAATTTTGAATGCATACAAATTGCCTTTGAAACTGAACAGTCAACAAACTTTTGTTTGTTGCATTCAAGAGGATTTATTTATTTCTGTTGGGAATATTCGATTATGAACCATCCATATTACTCCTGAAATAGTGGTACCAAGGGCTGAAGTTGACACTTTAGGTAAATATTTATGCTTTTTAAATGGTACCTGAAATTAGAACATCTTCCAGAGTCGCCATTGTTGACAGATGGGAACTGATAAATAACCATCCTAATCTATAGACGTATATAACTTGTTATTATTGACGACCTATGTTGTCCATCGCAACAACACAATTTGTCCTCTGATTATCTTGTGTTGATATTCATATAAGAAAGATGAATTGGGATACGAAACAAAACTAATAAGTTTCATTGATTCAAATGTTTCTAGACGAATACATTTTATTAATAAGGTCAACTTGAAAGATACTTGCTCACTCTTTATATAGGGGATGAACAGTTAGTTGATACTTAATTTGATTATATTCAACTTTTCTTTGACTAATCTGACCTTATACAGGTAAAATCATAAAACTGTTGATATAAAAGTTAAAACAGTAATTTCTAATATTATAGAGGGAATAATAGAATTGCTCTAGATTATTAGTTTAATTTCCCAAAAAAACATTTGTTTACTATAATCACCATTAAAGGTCCATTATATGTTTTTAGTAATTCTACTTATAATAGGTACCTGTATAATTAGGTGATAGTACACTATCAAAGCTACAGCTTTCTAATGGTAATAGAATCCAGTAGATTTTTAATTTATTTGTAACATACAAAAATACAAATCTTTCCTCTATAACATTAGTATAGATTATATCTACTGCATAACATGCTGTACTTTTGCAGCAAGTTTGCAATATTATTATTTGACCTCAAAAATAATGTACCGAGATAGCATTTATTTCCTTCATATTTGAATATTTCCTATAGTCTTCTAAGACAAATTATGAAGTCTAAGGCTATATTCTATCCTTTCTGTTTGTGATATGGTATAGATTATTTCCTTTTAAAGTGAAAATTCATAGAGATGGAGTCAAGTAAATAAGAATCCAGACTTGGGGTTGCTTCAGTTGCCTTCTTTATTACAAACTAGCTTTCCCCCATGACTCTGTCTGCGTGAAAAAAAAAACAAAAGCAAGTAGCCTATGTGTTCTTCCAGACTATTTTCTACATCTATGCCAAACTTCATCAAGATCCCTTCAAACATTTAGGCTACAAACTCTAACAAACATCTATCCAGCCATCTAAACTTTCGCATTTATAATATTAACATGATTAGTACTTTATTTCTTCATAATATGGTTTTTATATTTCTACTCAAGCTAAACCCTGTGTAATGAAAAGGATGAAAAGGTGGTAATAATGATTATTTTCTTGTAATTTGCAGGTTATGGCAAACTTGAACTTTCAGCAAGCACCTAGAAGCCTAGCAAGTGGTGTAGGAGGGGTCAGTGTGAGTGGCAGAGTGACATCAGGGCTGGTTAGCGGAGTCTCGGGCCATGTGACACCGACATTCGGCGGGGCGCTGTCGCCCGGCCGAAACTCCACAGCGATGCCGGGAGGCGCTCCACCCACAATGGCCTCGAGGTCAACGTTATTTGGTCAACGAGCCTTTGCGGATAGAAGAGTACCAATACCCACACCTTTATCACAAGCTAATTCTAATTCTATGGTTGGTATTCGATTTTACTAATTTAAGCATCTATAAGTTATGTCTGAATACTGAGACAATATTTAAATAAGTAATATTGACTTAAATGCAACGTTAAAACTCTAAATTCTTTTAAAATTGAAATATCCATCAGTGGTGCTTATGAAGTAAAGTACTTCAAGATTTGTTTCAGTATTGAGCCATTAGTTAAGTTAATTAATTTATGGTAGTTGTATAAAATGTAAAAAACTGTTTAGTTTTAGTGTGTTACTAAGAAACTACTGATACATAGCAAATTGTTGTCGTGAGCCTCGACAAGCACTATGCTTGGTGTTTATTATTTTTAAATCAAATTAACAAACGGCTACTTGAATTTACCAACATGACGTAGTGAATCGCTGCCTATAGACATTCGCATTTGTAGACCCACTTGCGTACCTAAAATCAACAAAGTAGGGGATGCTAAAAGGAGATACCCTCTTCTTGTACTTTGCCCCTGTCAAATCCGCTATAATGTACATTATTCCAGTCCAGCAATTGAAATAACCCACATAGTACATTTCGGTGTTGGCTCATTTTTGTTAGTTTTATTCCAGTGTTGATTTCGAGCTGGACTGGATAAATGTAAACCTGGCCTTACATTAATACAGTAGCTACATGGAATCTGTTAATAAAAGATATAAAATTTGTTGTCCAGTCAAGTATGGGTAATCTATCGAGGTTTAACGCGAGCAGTAACTACCACTCTGTGTTCGGCGAGGGCGGGGACACGTCGACGCCGCCGCTGCTCGACCTCAGCGAGTTCCCCTCGCTGACGGCGCGCGGCGCGGGGGACCAGGCGCCCGCCGCCGCGCCCCCGCCGCCCGGCTCCAAGCCCTACGGTCAGTGCCAACTATTATTCACAATATGTGCATAACTTACAAATCCTGCTTACCACTCCTAAGGGTAGGCTTAGGCTGCAGGTATTATTCAATTGCTATGGAAGTCTTCTGCCTGGGTCTTGTGATAACTGTTGTGATTTTGTTTCATTGTTATTCTACTGTTTTGTAAAACACTTTGTATGTAATAAAATTACAATAAAAAGGAAAGGCTCTGAAACCCTCAGTGGGAATGTATAGTGAACATAGTGATTACAAATCTTATGCTCAATGTAGTTGTGTTATACACATCACTAATATGACCATAATTTACAAATGTAAAGGAATGTTATGCAGAAACATAACCTCTGATATATTTTATATTTGTGTCGTGGTAATACCGTAGTTAACCTATCTATAGATACTGTCTTAATAAGTTAAGTATTGGTGAAACAGTGTGTGACTTCATTTGCCATCTCATTTTTAATAAAAATCTCATACCACTCTTTTTGTTCCTATAATTTTGTGCTATATTTTTATTATAATTTTACTATTTGTGATCGACAATCAATGAGTGTTAGTATAAAAAAATGTGTACTATTAAATGGTATTTTTTTTTCTGATGTCGAACTGTGAAGCTATCATTTGATCAGAATGAATGTTTGAATTTCCAGTTGGTATGGTGAAGCAACCAACGTCCGAGCAGTCGGAGTTCACGATGTCGTCGGAAGACTTCCCCGCGCTGCCGGGCACGAGTACAGGGGGCGCGGCGGGCGCGACGGGCGCGACAGGTGCGACGGGCACGACAGGCGCGGTAGGTGCGGGGGTCGCGACGGGCGCAGTGCACGCGCCGCCCCCTCAGCCCCCCACGCCGCAGGCCCTCGACTACGTCAACCACAACGACGTCAAGCCCAGGAAGGGCATACAGACCTCGCCCGATGGTATGTACCACACTAATATCCTGCTTAAAGAGATGCCACATAAGCGGTGCGGCTGCGGTCCGGTGACGTAGTGCTTTTATATAGTTCACGTAGAATGACATTCATATAGTGTGCCAACTAGACATGGGTTGACGTACCATATGAATGCAACTCTATTTGTTTTTTATAATACAAAATCTTATCATTGGCGTATTGAGTGACTGCGACGTTGCATTGTCGTGTGGAATACTATCGGTTCCTAAATCTGTGCGGCGCCGCACCGTCCCCGCACCGTCAACGCACCGCCCGTGTGGCATCTCTCTTAAACAGTTGGCGTCTTTCAAATCACTCTTTTGTTGTACTTTGCATGATTGTTAGTATTTATATGGTTAGATATTTTTATGTTTTTCATAAATTAAATTCATACGTAAAAAATTGGATTCATGAATTAAGTTCAAATTCATTACTTTATTTCAGTTTTATGTTATAGAATAGATATTTCTTATTTTTGTTATTATTTAAAATTAGTTTGATAAATTGTGTGTTATTCTGTATGCATGCTCCTTAGTTGTATTAGATGTTTGTAGATTGCAAAGTTATTGTAGTAAATGTAATTCAATATTATATAAATGTCTGAATTGGGTTTTTTCTGTCCCTAAAGTTGTCAGCCAAGGAGCTCATACGGAATATAATGGTGGGTGAAACATTTCATAAATCTAGGTATTTTCAATAGGTTATTAAAATAAGATTTTTTTTTTCTTTAAAACGTAGATGTTATTTTGAGACGTTGGGTGAATTTGAAAAGTGGTACTGAGGTGGTTATTGATTTTTAGGCAAAGTGACGAATATACCGGAGACGATGATACCAAACCAGTTTGGTATAGTGGGACTGTTGACGTTTATCCGTGCTGCGGAGTCCAACCCGAGTCTGGTCTCGTTAGCTTTAGGTCAGGACTTGACCGCACTCGGATTGAATTTAAACTCACCCGACAACCTTTACCTTACGTTTGCCGGACCCTGGGCCGACACGCCCTGCAGGTAAACTATTTATATTATATGTACCGCATATGCACCGACATACGCCCCCAGCGCATACATGCTACATCATTCAAATAACCCTCCACTTCCCTTCGAGTGTAACACTCACTCGTGTTCTCGGTGTTGCCAGAAATTGGTACAATCACACAATATTAATGCTATGCGCTACAGCTAGGAATTGCTAGCCTCAGTTTAATGGGTATATGAGCTTATTTATTTACGAAATGCAAATGTATTAACTATAATTAATTGGCAATTTTGAAAAACTATGACGAAGTTAAAAAAATCAAAATTATTAATTTAATTGTATCAGTTGAAAGAATTTGGAAACCAATGTAATGTTGCTTTTATCATCTTGATTTGCGCCTTCACTTGCTGTATGAAAATGGTGCGTCAAATTCTTTCATAATTAAAATTTAAATGGTTAATACAATGTAGGAAGTGTAAGTAACAATGTTTTTATACAAGATTTTAATTCAATATTTTTGGTGTGTTATTATGTGGTGTATATTTTATGATATTCGATCGTCGCATCGAAAAAACAAAACGAAAAAAATCGGATCTCAATTGAATTTGACATAAGAACAGCTAAGAATGCTACTTATTACCTGCGGTCGAAGTTACGGGCAAATGCTAGTTTTAAAAGAAATCTATGTCAGAACAGTCTGTCATGAGATAAATAAAGCCTCAATTACTAAAATAAAATATAAATTTGGTAGATAATTATTACAATTCTCGTTATTTAAATAATAATACAAATGTTAATAATACATGTTTATAGTTTTTAAGGGCAATGCGATATTAATATGAAAATAGCCACACTCAGTTTAAAAGATAATTCAATCAGTTTTGAACAGACTGATATATGTTATGATGATTAAAATTAAAATGGGAATTATTAAAATGTTACTTTTAATAGTAATTATTTTATTAAGATTCTCTAAGCATTGTATATGTTTCTATTGCCCAGGCCACAAGATTTGGACTACCATGTGCCCCCCGAATATCTGATAAATGGAGCTATTAGGGAAAAATTGGCACCACTACGACTGAGTCGATATAAGGAAGATCTATTGTTCTATTTGTTTTACTGCTTCGTGGGCGACGTGCTACAGATCGCGGCGGCGGCAGAATTGTGAGTATATTTGAGAAACACACTAATTTATGACTACTATAAACTTGATTACAATCAAAAATCCCCTAAGTTAGGATAAGCACCAAGCTTCAACTCCTCAGTGAGGGTGTATAGTGACCTGATTCCTAACAAAATCCGAACCCTGGATAAATTTCAATTTATGCTAGGAATCTTGATTTCCAACATTTCTTAAAATAATTTTTCGCACATACACATAACGTAAATATTAAAATTTTAAAATATCATTTGATTTCTCACAATTTTCACATAATGGCTAAAAAGCCTAATATCGTATTCGTGTTGTATATTGTGCACATTAACAAATGACATTTGTATATCGTGCACATTGACAGGTATCACGTAGTATTTGGTGCAAATTGGCAGGTATCATGTAGGATTTAGTACACTTGACAGGTATCATGTCGTATTATGTACATATTGACAGTTATCATGTCGTATTTAGTGCACATTAACAAATGTCATGTATTATTTAGTGCACATTGACAGTTATTATGTCGTATTTAGTGCACATTGACAGGTATCATGTAGTATATAGTACACATTGACAGGTATCATGTTGTATTTAGTGCATGTTGCCAGGTATCATGTCGTATTTAGTGCATATTGGCAGGTATCACGTAGTTTTATGTGGACATTGTGGGCTGTTGTCAGATACAACCGCGAGTGGCGGTATCACACGGAGGAGAAGGTGTGGATCTCGCAAGCGCCCGGCATGCCCATGGTGGAGAAGACGTCCACATACGAGCGCGGCACATACTACTTCTTTGACGCGCACAACTGGCGAAAGGTAACTAATACCACACATCTATCTTACTTCTTACTAATATTATAAATGTGAATGTTTGGATGGATGATTATTAAAGTTTGTAGCTTAAAAGTCTGAATGGATCTGGATGAAATTTAGCATAGATGTAGAGGTTAGTCTGGAAGAACACAGGCTACTTTCTTTTATTTTTATTAATACAACGCTAATGGAAGTTAGTACTAATATAAAGCATAAACACATATTTTTTGCTCTGTAAAATGTCTGCATATCTGATTTTTTTTTTTCTAATAAGTAGCCTTACACTTACGACTGGCTAGAAGTATTTTTACGTTATCTATTTTAAAGGGTGTATGTACTGGACTCTTTAATTTTTTACTGGTTTTAGTTAACCTTTGCTGGTACTATTCATCAATTTTTAAAAGATTACTGATTTCTATTTGGTATCAGTTTTGATTGAAATTTCTTATGTATATATACTAAGTTTAAACTATGTTAGTTTGCTACATTAATTAGTTTTATAAAACTAAGAGCCTCCGCAGACAACAGACTGTCGCCCGATATTTTAATCGTATCACATAAAACAAAATCGGTTTAATGTGGGCACTTCCAAGTTCATACTGATTTAGCGTCCAACTAAACTTTCGGCCGATAGTCTATGGGAGCTTTAAAGCAACACTTGTCAGTAACTGATGTGTATTTGCAGGTCGCGAAAGAATTCCACCTGGACTACAGCAAGCTGGAGGGGCGGCCGCAGATGCCGCAGCTGACGCCGCAGCACCTGCTCACGTAGCGCGCGCCCACAACATCTATTGTAGTTTTGTTATATAAAAAGTACAAGTTAAAACAAAAACCTTTCATTTAAATTACCCCTAAACACTAACCTCTAACTACCAACGGGTAACTGCTTGGTGAAAATCAAGTACAAAATATCACGGCTTAGCTAATCAGCCCCTTTAGACAAAGTAACATTCAATTATCGCCATCGCTGATCAAAAAGTCAAAAATGTATAGAACTGAAAATAACATTCGATAAGTCACGTATTAATTCCTATACATTTTGTCGATTCTACTAGCGATATCGTTAACCGAGTCACTTTGTCTAGGGGTTCAAGTGGAATAAAGAGATACATGCTAGTATACTCAGTTTAGCTGTCCTGGCATTAACTGTATTGGCTCACTGAGGTTCTAATTAACTGGTTAGTTAGCGTGTACAATGCCAGCAAAACTGTAATGACATAATGTGAACTGGTTATATAGTCGAACTAGGACGCATTAATATTCATGACACTGGCAGATTGAAAAAAAGATATTTTGTTAATGGAAAAAGGCTAGACCCTACAAAAATAAGTCATCCATTACCATGGTTTTCTACTTTAGAAACATTTGAATAAAAACCTAGTCTTTCTCCCTCTGATAAAATAGGAAAAATATTTTTGAATGGATTAAAACCGACTAATAACCTTTGCCCACTAAAACTATAAATAGGTTTCAAGAATATAACTTATAACCACATTTTAATAAAAAAAAATACTTGTAAGAGAATTTATTAGCGTTACAGGAATTACAAACCATTCTCTGAACATGAGTGATTTGCATTATATAAACCAACATCGATGCTTAGATCTATTTGAAAATTATTTGCAGTTATAAATAAAATGCATTAAATCGGACACCATATTCAAATTATTTTAACAAACGGATTTTGCGACTTATTCATAGATTAAACACATTTATAACCAACATAAAGTATATGTAATTTTTAAAGTATTAAAATCATGCAATTATTATTACAAATAAAAAAAAAAAAACTAGTATTAAGACACGTTAACTAGTGTTAATTGTACTATTCCAATGTAAGCAAGAAGTGCAAGTTTGCAAACACTTTATAGACAATAATTTCTTTTAGATACGACAAATTAAAAAAAAACTATTTCTTTTGATTCTCCTTATAAAATCCCACTGCTACAACACTGATATATTGCAGTCTGTTTAGTTAAACAAATATCAATGATAATTTCACTGAGTTCCATAAATGGATAGGTGATTACTTGAAAACTTGGATAACATTGTTGTTCCGACATAAAAGCGACTGTTGTTACCAAAACAGTTAAATCTATCTCTATTATTACCTGAATAATAGAATTGTTAATTGGCGAAAATCAAATAGGCACAAAATACCATGTCTATTTATAAAGGTCAGTGATTTTATAAATGTCATAACAATGGTGTATGGTTGTAAAGTTTGAAACCGATTTTAAAATCAAATTTCTCTACGATAAAAGAAATTTAAATTCCTTGATGGGTAATTATAAATGTGAAACATAGTGAATTTTATTATTTGTAGTAATTTTTACCATAATTAGATAGACGACAATTTTAATCATAATTTCTCTTGTACGATTTCAGATTTTTCATTACCTAATAGAAGTTTTATAAATTCATTGCAAATTTATAATCTGGCAAATATGATTGGGTTAAACGGAAAAAATAATGTTGGTATTTACATGAACCAGTTATTCAATATGAAAAATACAATGCGACTAAAACGTCTCACTAAACGACAATCAACTCGTACGATGTTCAGGGTCAAGGCATTGGAGAACTATTATATTAGGAAATGTGACTTCTATAAAATTAAAACCACACACTATATGCTTAGTGGAAAAAGGTTTTAAACATACTGACGATATGAAGTCGCATTGTATTATTCACTTAAGACAGCTGGTGTTAGAGAAAATAAAAGTTAACCTCAGTCTACATCATCTGTAGCATTTGTTTCTTCATTTTCTTCTTCTTTCTCCTTCATCCTCCCCTCTCCTTCCTCGTCTTTCTTCTGCGGCACCCAGAGGCCGGCGTCCACGCACCTCTTCATGTAGTAAACTGCCTCAGACTCCGGCATCCTCGCGATTAGCTCCTGTAACTTCGGCACGTCCTGCGCGTCGAAGCATTGCTTCATCTCCTGGAATTAAATGTTCAAATGAAAATAGAAAATAGTCTAGATTATTCTTTTTACTAATTGTCGTGCGCGGACTTTAAAATAACAATATGTTTGTGGTTATCAACATTAAAAATACAAAAGAACCTTGATAACTTAAAGTCTAAGGGAAACACAAAATATTTTATGTTATAGAAATTTTAAGTTATCAAGAGTATATGTTGTAGAGGTTTTGGGCTCTGATGGGAAGGGAACATATTATTTTTTGAAGTTAAAAAGGGTTTTTAAGTTACCAAAGTTGGATTTATCGAGGTTCTACTGTATTAGTAATTTGAACACTTACATCAGGTAGTTCCGCATACACTTCCACAGGGTCCAGTCCCCCGGGTCCCAGTCTTGCTTTACGTTCCTCTTCCTCCTGTTCCCTGATTGCCTCCTGTATTTTCTCCTCAGCTCGCTTCTTGATGCGAGACTTGAACTGTTCCAATTCATCATCAAATGAATCCTTGTATGTCTTCTCGGCTAATTGTATTCTGTAAAACATTTCATTTTAAATATGTAACATCCATTGATATCTATATAAATGTACAGTTCATTTGCTTTGTACCAAAAACACTTAATTCATTGGAGTTTTTTGTTACAAAAGAAATCTTTGAATTTAATACATTACTTTTTTTATTTTGACAACCTATCAGTTATTATGAATGTAAATTTAGTTATATATTTTAATATAAATATGTATCACCACAATATTTTTGGTGTATTCATATGGGTCAAACTTATTTTTCTTAAGCCTATGCATAATGTTACAATAACCATGACTTGCCAAAAATCTGCAACAGGTGCTAGAGGACATAAAGGATGTCATATATTTGAGCCAAAATATTTGTGAAACACTTAGCATTATGGTAAGGCTCTTACTTACTACTACCTACTACTTACTTACTGTGTTGGTGCAGCAACCCAAAGTCGTTCTTGGCCTTACAGTTTACCATTAGTTGAGAACTAATTATTATTTCTCAGTTACTTACTTGGAGAAGAATGAGCTCACACAAGCCCTGGGGTCTATGTCAAGTTGCTTAGAGAGCTCTAGTATATACTGCATGCAGATGGTCTGGTGCGCTACATGCTCCATCAGATTGTGTTTCTGAAATTATATGTTTTATATAAATAAGTTTTCACCCATGATTCTATCAGCATCAAAATAAAACTCTAGACTATCCTCTACCAAGGGCGGATCCAGCTTTGGCGCCAGGGGGGGGGGGGTTCAGTCATGGTCAGGTCAAGAGCTTGACAAAATATGTAAATATGTTTTGTCAAACTCTTGACCAACTAGCTCGGGGGGGTGGGGTAGTCATGAGCTCCATGACCCCCTCTCCCTGGATCCACTGTTGTCTTCTTCATTTTTACCTAATTTGGTCTACACCTGTTCAACAGTTTAGGTTATAAACTATAACAAATATATGTCCATCTATCTAAACTAAACTTTCACATTTGTAATATTAGCATGATAACTTTTAGTGTTTGTATTTGTAAATTGGAATATTTGTTCATCATAAAATAATAATAAAAATATAAATTCTAGTAGTAGGAAATGTAAGTTAGTAGTAACTAATAGTAAGAAAATGTATTAGTATATGATCTCTTGAAGATTTCTATCTCGTTACAATTTACAAAAATATTTGAAAAAACGCCTTTTAATGTACAGATTATTAATATCATGCATTACTTATAGGTTTTATTTATACCATATGGCAACATAATAAAATAAAAATATTTCTGTACACTATACACTGAATAGTAGGCTTTTTGTTACTACAAATATACATATATATTCTGCACTAACAAATTTCAAGCTAGTGCATAAGTAAACATATGCCTGATTCATGGCTGTTTGTTACTGAAATTGTCAATAAGGAAATTAGTTTAAATATACCTCCTCCATTTCTAAATTGATACACCATATAACAAGGTAATTTGCAGTTTCTTCACAAACTAATTGGTTGTAGTCTAACAGGAATTTCTTAGAATCATCATACTTCCTCAGCATTCCAAATTGTTTTAATAATTTCTCATTTTCTTTGATGAACTTCTTCATCTTTGCCTCTTTTTCTTCTTCAGTGAGATTTTCATCTTTAGTCCTACCCGGATTTGTGTTTATAACAGTTTTTGTGAATCCCGGAGCACTTATTGTATCCACATTCCAAGGAGTTTGCCTCTCTTTCTTTCTTATTTCTTCCTCTTTCTTAAGAATCTCCTTCTCAGTCTTCTCCAGATCACTGAGGGCTTTTTTCAATGATTCCATGTTTGGACTAGACGGTTCAGTCTCTGCAATCTTCCGTTTAGTTTCGCTTATTTTCCTAAATGTTTCAGACTTCTTCTGCTCGAATTCCTCTTTCTCTCGTTTACGCTCTTCCATTCTTTCGACACGAGCTTGATGCCGCCATCGGAACAGTGATGGCGTGTCAATATTTGGATGTGTTTCATCTTCATCGTCGGAAATCTAATAAAACATATATAGCTTGTTAATTTAGTATTTTAATTTCGTATAAATATGTAAAATAAGCGGTCTTCGATATTAACTAATATTTCCAGGTTAAGAATTAAAATGTCAACATTACATTTAAGAACATTGTAGTAAAAAATAATAACAGTGTCTTATGCGTAAAGTAAAAACATAAAACAAAATAATTGCACAAACATAAGATAAAAGAAACAGTTATCATTTCTATTCGACTCAACGTCGTATTGTTTACGTACCTCAATGTCCTTCCATTTGCTGTAATCCACCATTGTTTGTTTAAGATTCTTTTACTTCCCTTTAAAGCGATTGTTATTATTATTTTCTCGGTCGTAAAACTGTTAGAATTAACTTCAAAAACACAAGGCGTGTACACAGCTTTTTAACTTTACTTTGATTATGATTTGACAGTTGAATAATCCGGAATATTCTTTAATTTTCTAACGAGAGTTGCCGTAGGTAATAATATAAGCATTCAGATTTCGATATAAAAAAATATACCTACATTTGCTTTGTACAATCGCTCGTCATGAAATTTTTTGTAAGAATAATGTGTTTGGTTAAAATTAAATAAATCTTTATTTTATTTCGAAGGAAAAATTGTAACATTGTGCGCGGTTCACACTTGGCCAATACAGTTAGACAATCGCTAGCTAAGCATGAATGCTATGGAATCACTGGCGCTAGTTAGTGTTCACACTATGCCAGTTGAATAGCAGTCCAGTTAGCGTTACATAACACTGTATTGTGCATCAGGCATTGTTCTACTACTGTAATAGTTTAATCTCATAAGTTCCGTATATTGTCAATGACCAGCTACATTTGTATTACAAGTACATATATTTTTGTCTTAATGTTTAAGTAGGAATTGTTAGCTTTTTAACTATTTTTGATGTGTTCTGTATTCTTAAAAGTTATTTGTTAATCTGTGATATTTATCAATACATTTATCTTTATTTAAAACAACAATATTGTTACGGTTTAAGAATATTTATTAACCTTAATAAAAATTTACAATTCACTTATTTAAGGTAATTAATACTAAACACAACATTTATGAAAGATTACAAGCATACGAGAGTTTATTTAAAATATCATCTAAATGTAGGTAGTGTTGTAAACTTACTTACAAAACAAGACTAATTATTGAGTTGCATCGAAATATAATTGTTAGGAAAATATTAGGAAGGAAAAGTGGGGGGTTCACGCTTTTGTCACAGAGAAGGGACATCTATCACCTTAGTGTAGTTCAGGGGCATAATATAACTGGAATATCACATAAAATTTCAGAGGAATGACGTCGGTTAAAAATTTAGTTTTAAAAAGAAAAAAATCACTTATATTTGTCGTACTCATTCAGTTTAAATGAAATTATAACACTCTATTTACTCCTTGCTAAATTATAAATAAGTGACTGAAGTCTATGACATATTTAAATGTTTATTGTTTATATTTTTTCGCCAGCGTTGTTAAAATTGTCGTCATTGTGGTGGCAACACTGGATGTTTCAACTGTTGTGGTGGTCGTGGTATCGTTATGAAAGAATCTACCCTCAAATTCCTTTTCACCTTGATTATCATCAGGAATACTTATTTGGAATTGTAGTAGTACTACTAAATACGTGACCATTGTCGCTAAAAGCTGAAAGTAAATACGTTTTAATTTTTATTACAAATATTGTACATATAAATAAATAAGTTTTTATCTCAGATAGGAAAACTTCTTATTCATTTACCAGTTTCTTTTTACATTTTACATAGAGAAAACTATTCAGAGCTACTCACCGATTTGAATAGGTTTCTATTTACATCGAAAAATCCGCCGAGACTTATTTGTGAGGGATTCATTTCAGTAGCTCGTAGAAACATATTAACCTCCGTTTGCGCATCAGCATTCATCCACGAGAGTTCGACCATTAACAATTTCTTTTGGAAATTTGTACGTACCTACGTAATAGAAACATTATTATGTATTTAATTTATCTATATCACTAACTGTTTTTATTTATAATGTCTAGGTGTTGCAAAATAGCTTGAGTTAAATTCTCAATAGGAATTAATTCTTATGAATTTAACATCTTACTAATATAAATGTGAAAGTTTAGATTGATGGATGTTTGTAGAAGATATTTCCAAAACGGCTGCATGGTTCTAAATGAAATTTGGTGTAGATATAGAACACCATCTGGAGGATCACATAGACTATTCAACAGGTTTTTTTTTATTTGCGCGGAAGAGTTGCTGCCAACAGTAAAGTATTAAAGCTCAATTTTCTTTATATAAAATAGAATATGCGTCAGTGCAAGCATTTGATCACTACTAGAAGTGTGAAATATTAGTGAAATTATCTTAAAGTGAGAGAGAAAGACTGAGCACCAATATTTGATTGCTATTTAATTTAATAAGCGTTTGTTGTTATGGTAGTATTTAAAAATACATTTTCTTACATTCTGCGAAGCGTAATGTGCCTCGTCACAGATAAAGAAGAGTAAAAATATGCTGCAAGTTGCGGTTACAGCCAGTCCAATATCCTTGATGCCGAAGCCCTCGGAAATTTGGCTAAGGAGACCATAGATCGACAGAGTAATAATCAGAAACAAATAGAGGTTGACGAAGGTGAAAGTGTAGCAGTTGGCTATGCCAGTGTCTCGTGCCAGTTTACTCAGACGCAGCCATAGAGCACGGTATTCGGCGACTTTTCCCGCTGGACCAATGTGTCGCAGAGCCTGAAATTGAAATTTCTAAGAGCGTGCGCTCACCTAGAACTACACTTTTGCATAAATGTTTAGTCTCGCTTGGATTCCTATGAGCTTATTATAGTGGAGGTTGTGCAAATAAACAGTTGAATTGGCTGCGAAACAATCGACAATCGCACAACACTTGTGCGATGGTCTTATTAAGATTAAAATCAAAGGAAATTTAAAATCTTGTACGATTTTTGCAGAGTATTATAATGTTTTAAGAAATACATCAATTTGATAACGTAATTGCGGTAAAACGTTTGCTCATAAGATACTTTCTAGTTTCTACTATAGGAAAATGCACAGGGCTTTAGTAATTAATAGTAATAGACCATTTATTTACAAAATCATACTTACCAGTTGAAAGTCTTCGGCTAATATTTTGGCACACATGCTCAATGTTTCGCAGAGTAAGTACCAGTAACCTCCGAGGATGTATGTTAGTATCTCCAGGAATACGTATGGTATAATCTGTACCAACTTGAAATCAACCATCGTGACATGAGTTATTATCACCGAGGTGGTTGATAGGATGGGAATTATAAAAGCGATTGCAAGAGACTTTCTGTATAAATAGAGAGGCAATGCTTGACCGGATAATTTTTTGTAGGTTATCTGTCAAAAAAAAGCTATTAAGCATTTCAACGTGAGATTTTAAATTAAACAAAGCAATGACTTAGTAAAATTATTGTCTCGTGATTGTATAATAAGGGTAGTCTGAACGATTCAGTCGTAACTTACCTCAAAATCGACCCATCCATTTAGAACTCCTGCAATTTTTCTCGTTTCATACCACATTATTGGGACAACAATTGTCGGAAACAAATACACCGTGAAGAGGTACTCGATGACCGCTTCTTCAAACTTACCTTCTGCCGTACGCAAGATCTGAACTTTGTGTAAAGACAGATACAAAATGTAGGTAATAAGTAAGAAATATAACACAGCGGAATAAACCATAGAAATTGATGTTACTGTGAATTGGTTTAATCCAGGCGATTTTTTTGTTAATGGAAGAATACCCATAAGTCTCAATAAATTGAATACAGGACCAATATTTTTGTAAACTATGTCCTTATAAATGTTTGTTTCTATCAAATTATTTATTAAAGGTACAATCGCGTTCTTTGAAGATTTATAATTGGGCGTTTTTATTGGAGTGACATCTAGAAACACTATTTTATTTTTCGGTTTCTCATCAAAATGGACGAAACCGTTCGGTATAGGTAACGTTTTTGAATATAAATTTTTGTTGCTATGATAATAGGACATTTTTAATGTCGCGTATTACTTAGAGAATGGATCCGTACGAATACAATTGCGGAGTAAGAATGGGGGAAAGATTTCAATTTTGTAAGAGGACGGCAAAAGTAATATTTCAAAAGTTGACATGATGATTATGGCAGTATGGCGGAGTGTTTTGACGTCTTTCGTTAATCATTCACGCGATCTTCACCTTGGTGCGACCTTGGAAGACCTTGGCTGAGCTGCTTTTGTTTGTTTTTCCACAGTTTTACGCTTTATGTGTTTACATGAACATCAAGTAACTTTTTAATTTTTAAATAACTTCTTGACAATGACGTAATCCCAAGTAGATACATATCTTCGATATACTTTTACACACATGAATTGACCCTTGTTTCTGTTCGTGATGTAAGCGTTGATATAGCTCAGTAAATATAATAAGGGTCAAGGTTTTGTTTATTTAGAATAAAACGACAAACAGCTCTCGTGATAAAAACAGGTAACATATTAGCAAAAATTTTTGCCAGACAAGGATTCAGACTAACGATAAAAGATGAGTTGTTGACGAACAAACAAATCTATATGCAAATTTATCATACAGTGATTTACTGAATTCAATGAAACTATCGTAAATGAATAAAGCAATTGAGTGAACAAGAGTAGTATTTTCCCGCCTATCATGAGTGTTTAGTGACGAATATAGAGACATGTTGTTATCCTTTTTTCCCCAAAATAAAAGAGAGATGAATATATTTTTGAACAGATGCTTAATCAATGGGAATTTAGCAATAGTTATTCTTGTTCAAGATGCTTTTTAAAATGAAATCTTGCTTTTTGTGATATATACTGGACACTATACTTAGTTACGTCCGAATAAATTCTGTAGTTGCGTTAGTAAGCAAAGCTTTTTATTTTATTGCGCATAAAACTAGGAGACCGCAAGACCGCAACAAATAAAGTCGACTTGTAGTATTCTAGCCATAACAAATGTAGGCCGTAAACGAGCACTTTTAAATATTGTAGCATCAAGTGGATAGGACTTCGGTAAACATCTTGGAGTTTATTACCTGTGACGTCATAAACTTAAAACAATGTTGACAGTGGCGAATAATTTTTAGTTTGAACAAATTATGCTAGCATGTAGTTATACTCTTGCTTATCGAAACCATGTAAAGAAATAATTAACATTTTCACTGAATTATTAATAGTATATACTAGGTTTACTTCGTAATAAATTACGTCATTAGTAAGTGGAAACTTTTTTTTATCTTTAACGATTTATTTGCAGTAGTGAACAATAGTGTTTAGAATAGGATTATTCAATATTTAATGAGATTGTACTTGGATTAACAGGAACTTCATATCATTATTACAATATTTGTTGTGCAAGACACTCAGATACTAGAGAATTATGTCTACTATAAACCGTTTTAATTATGAAAAAGATACATGAAAATATGTTTATTTCTATTTTTATTAAAGAGCATAAAAAGAATAATATTGTATCTTTTTGATAAATATTTGTATTTTTTACGTATGGTTTACCAATAAACTGCGTTCTGTCACTTTACACATTTTTTTCTTCGGCCAAATTCCAAAACAAACAATTTAGATGGACACAACTTTCAGTACCCTTGACCCAAAACATTTAGTATTTAATTCGTTAAGTTGTTTTTAATACGTTTGTGTACAAGCAGTATTTATTTAGGAAGGCCGGTTATTAATTTCAATCGTGTAAGGACAACAAAAAAGGGATAAGCTCAACAAGAACCTGTCGCCTGTAGGGTTGGTTGGTATGCGTCGAGTGTGCGGGCTTCCTCTGAGCCCTTGACAACTTTGTCACGCCCTACACACGTGATTTGATTTCCTTTACAACTACCTACGATTAGGGTGCCTATGTTTAATTCCTTTTATGGACTGTTCTTTAGGGATGTGTGTGTCCATTCATTTATTTCACTATCCTGTTTACTCAATATTTTAAATACGAAAGTTTAGATTGATGGATGAATGGTTTGTTTAAGTTTGTAGCCTAAACTGCTGAAGGCATCTCGATGAAATTTGGCATAGATGTAGAGGATAGTCTGGAAAAATGTATAGGTTACTTGTTTTTTTTAATTCCACGCGGACGGAGTCGCGGGCGAAAGCTGTAAATCTGTTTTTAGATTTTACGTCTATAAAAATAGAAGCTTTAAAATATCTAAAAATAGGTCTTCACAAATTTACATTGCTATCTCATTTTTTATTATCTAAATACGATCTGTTGACTACATGACTATCATAAGTGTTTATTATCATAAAAATAATGAGAAGTCATGATGACCGAGATTTATAAAGATATAGAAAGGATAGATAGCAGATAGAAAAAAAGATAAACATGGACACTCTATGCCAAATAGACAACGTTTGCTTCGGTTTTGCGATTCCCTTTATTCAATTACTGTCTGTTTACTTCTATTCTTACTCGTATGTGTAAGAAAAGGAAATATAAACAATATTTTACTATAAGTTTTAGTTAAAACGTTTCTTAAACTATATTGTCATTGCCTACTCATTATGATTGGTAAAACACAGATAATTTTTTGTAGTGTAACGTTACGTATAGCTAAAATTGAGTGATAACAATTCAGCATATTTTTTATAATTGTGTAACAAATCTAAGAACAAATAAATACTAAATTAGATATTAAGATAACAGATTCGAGATAATAATATCGCAGTCAGTTACAGTTACTTTTGTGAAAATGTCGAGTCAAGATCATTTAAATTATGTAGTGAGTGAAGTAGCGAAAAATTTAGGTTTGAAGAGTTACAAATACACAAGAAGTGACCTAGATGAAACTATTGAAAATTATCTAGGAGAACTTATATTTGTTACTATAAACGGAGAAACGGATGATGGTGAAGTTAAAAAGGATTTTGTTGTAAAATTCGCACCGAAGAATGCAGGTCTTAGAGAATGTGGTGCACTCGAAGTGGTGTATAGTGTTGAAATAGCTGTATACACAGTATTACTACAACATTACAAGAGGCTATCGAAGTTTGATACGAGGGAACTGTTCCCGGAATTTTTGTTTTCAGATTGTACGCAAAATAAAGAAGTACTAGCAGTGTCGAACATGTGTAATGATGGATTCCGTAGACATAGTGGGAATAGATTTCTTGATACTGACCATATGATAGTTTCTTTAAAAGCATTAGCAAAATTTCACGCCCTTTCAATGGTGCTGAAAAATGATATCAAGAAAATAGAAGATTGGAATAATTTGGTCCCAAATTGTTTTGAATACCCACCGAAATATACAACTTCTTTGAGGCTATCTTGGCAGGGTAATCTAGATAAATTGGTAGACACGAAATATGGGAATACATTTAGCACGATAGATGCTAATTTTGATGACGTCATCACTAAAAATATCAAAGATGTAAAATGTTTGATATACGCGCATGGAGACTATTGGAAAGAAAACATTTTATACAAATATAAGGTCAGCTTATTTATGTACCTCTTTTATTTGACACTTGTATGTTCAGCCTTTTATGCTACTCTAGACTTACGGATTTATAATATAGATTAATATGATTTAAAACATTGTTCATATCTATTGTAGAAATCAATGGAAATGAGGAATCACATCTACATATGCCCTTAGCTTTATCAGCTGAGGGCATATGTAGATGTCATTTATTAGCTATGAATTTATTTTTAATTACACGGTACTGAAGATGTTGAAAGATGTGTATAGTCAACCAATTCTCACTAGGTCAGAGTGATTGAAGCCTAATAGCCTTACAAATGAACGCGGTATAAAGAAATAATTTAAACTTAAGAATAAATTGAGTATAAGCAAGTGTTAGTACAAATTTTGGTTATACCCAGTTTATTTCTAAGTTTAACTTATATATCGCGTTTTATAAGGCTGCTAGAATGTCGAAAAATGTGTGAAATCATGAGTTTGCAGGTGTGTTCTGTATTCATTTGTTATTTAATGTTTCAGGACGACAAACCTGTAAGTGCATGCATATTGGACTTCCAAATGACTCGTTTCTTATCACCAGCCCAGGACTTCCTCTGCTTTGTACTCACGAGTGTTGATTGCGAACTCAGAAGACAGTATTATGAAGTCTTCATGTCGACATACTATGATTGTCTGAAAGAAAGTTTGGAAGAACATGGCTTGAATGTAGATGACTTTTATTCTAGAGAAGATTTAAATTATGATTTGAAAGTAGTGGCTCCATATTGTATAGTTTATGCTAATTTATCATTTTCTTTATGGCTTGGTCTGGAAAGTAACTCGTTTGTTAAAAGCAAAAATATCGATTCTGAAGATAATGCAAAGATTTTACAATATAAAGAAATTATGGTTGGAATAGTGGAGGATTTCCTACAATGTACATGTAATTGAATAAATGTTTATACGCTATTAAATTTTATACAAATATTGTTATTTGGTTTTCATAAATTGCAAATTAAAAAGGAAGTTATATGATAGAACTGGTTTTTGTTGTAAACAAGTAAATAAAAACTCTACCATTAGCGTTTTATTTCTTTTTGTTAACATTTTGGTCGAACTATTACGGTTATTCTTAGCTACACTGCCACAAAAACTGGCACAACTTTAATAAGATTATTATCTATACTGCTATACTAATATAATAAAGCCTATACACACACTAGTTTGTGGCGTAAGATGTCAGCAATCACAGAATATTTTTGAATAATACTTTCTTTAATAAAACGTCGTACAATTACGACACGCTTTAGGATATAAATTGTCACGCTATTAAACATAGAGGGTAAATATATAGAAAAAACCTTCATTGTGGGAAAGGGATCAAAAACTACAAGCTGCCAACATTAAGAAAGCAAGGTTATTATGGTAACCATAATTTTGACATTTGCAATTGAGCATTTGTCAAATGTATATAATGAATAATATTTTTTAAAAATTTCATGCGGATGAAGCCGCACGGGAATAACTAGTTTTATTATTTTTTTTTAATCATATAAATACGAACATTTCATTGTGTTGGCTTGTAGTGCAACAGATAAGACTTAATACGATAAACCTGTTTGTATACTAAATACCTTTCATATTTGTTGACCATACATTTCTTAGACCGTCTACAAGATATCAGTGCACATTCAGATAGCGAAATGACAAACGAGAAACGCTTAACTTGTGTTATAGAAAAACTGGCTGAAAAGTTAGAGTTAAAAAACTACGAATATGAATTTCGAAATATAGAAGAAACCATAGAGAACTACTTCGGAATACTTACTCCGATTATATTGAAGGGAGAAACAAAAAATGGTGTCTGGTCAAAAGAATTGATAGTAAAAATTCCACCGCACCGAGAAATATTGAGAGAACTTGGCGTTATCGAAGTGCTATATGGTGCAGAGGTTTTTGTTTATAGCGTTTTGATTCCACATTACAAGAGACTTTCTAAATTTGATTTGAATCAACTGTTCCCTGAATGTTATTATTCAGATTCTACTCTACACAATGAAGTTATTGTATTAAAAGATATGTGCAAAGAAGGATTCCGAAGGTATAGTGGCGAAAGATTTTTAGATGCTGACCATATAAACGTATGTTTAAAATCATTAGCTCAATTTCACGCGCTTTCAATGATCTTGCAACATAATGTAAAGAACATAGGATATGAAAAAATTGTGACCCCTTACAATTCGACTTATCCAACGCAATTGATGGTAGCTTTAAGAAATTCTTTAAGTAACCATTTGGATAGTTTCAAGAATACTGAATACGGTGAATATTATTCTACGATTTTTGATAATTTTGATGATATTGTTGACAATAATACGAACAAAGCAAGTCGTTTAGTATATGGCCACGGAGATTTGTGGAAGGAGAACATTTTGTTCAAATATGAGGTAAATATTAACGTAAATTAATTTTTATTTTTAGCAAAAAGCGGATAATAGTTATAATATTAAGAAGGATTTTAATTTTAAATAATAGATCTGTCTACATGTCGCTCTATCTGTTCTTTCACAGAATAACAAACCTGTAAGCGCGTGTATCCTGGATTTTCAAACAACTCGTCTTTTATGTCCCGCTCAAGATGTTCTAACATTTATCCTTACAAGTTCAGAAACAAAAGTGAGAAGGAATTGTTATAATATTTTTTTATCTACCTATTACGATTGTCTTCAGCGAACTCTATCGCAACACTCTCTAGATCCCGACATTATATACTCAAAAAACGATTTCAATCGTGACCTCAAAACAGTAGCACCTTATTGCTTTATAACAACTAACATGGCTTTCTCCTTGTGGTTAGGCTTGGAAGAGGTAGCATTAATACAAAGTAAAAATGTATGCGAAGAGGGAAATGAGAAAATTTCAGCTATACTTGAATATAAACAAATTATGCTCGATATTGTGCAAGATTTTGTTAATTTTGGGTACGTACCGAAGCCGAAGAGTGTTGAGTAATACTATCACTATATTTAGAATTCTTACACTTGTTATATTATTGTGAAGTCGTCCTTAGTTTAACATTGCAAAATTAGTACGATTTAACTATAGACATAAATATCAACATAACATATTTATTAGTAAAGGAAAATTCACAGTATCTGCCTACCACTCTAAAGCACGTATGTATGATAGTGCTTATAGGTATATTTTAGTAATTCCATCTAAGTTATAAAAAATATTATAAAACGGAACACAATCTTGACAAATGACATTGTCAATGTCAAATAAATTGTAAACAAATAAAACTTGCACGGAATGGGGCACGAGGGAAAAGTAATAAAGTTGTTAAGATTTTTGTTTTTTTCACACAGTTAACATGTGTCAATTAATTTCTTCAAACTATATTGCGACTGTTGTAAACGATGTAGCGGTCGCTTGCGATTTGAAGGAATGGAGTTATTTAGAAGAAAGTTTAGACGCGAAAGCTCAGAATTATTTCGGTGTCCTTATTCCAATATCTTTAGATGGGAAAATAAATAAGGAAAACGTATCTTTAAAAGTAATGTTGAAATTAGCACCGACTGATGACAGATACCGAGTTAGCGGAGCAGTAACAGCTATGTTTGCGCGGGAAATATTTGTATACTCGAAAGTTTTTTCAAAATATCAAGACTTGCAAAAATGTTTAAAATCTCAGTATATACTACCTAAATGCTATTATGTATGTAATGACTATTGTAAGGAAGCATTAGCAATACAAAACATGTGTGAAAATGGTTATTTACCATTTATTCACAGTATGTTTTTAGAAGTTGATCATTTGGTAGTGTCTTTGAAAAGTCTTGCAAAGTTTCATGCTTTGTCATTTATAATGGAAATTAAGGAAACTGAACTTTTTGAAGAGGTGAAAAACATTTGTTTACCATTATCAGTAACTACCAATAAAAGGTATATAGATATTTTAATAGATAGACTGGAGAAAGCTTTATTAAAGTTTGATAATACCACTTATGTGCCATTATTGAGAAATTTCAAAGAGAATTGTAGTAAATATATAGAGGATGTGTATTCATCTTCTGAAAAGAATTGTCTATGTCATGGAGATATCTGGAAAGAAAACATCCTTTATAAATATGAGGTGGGCAACTTTGATTTGTTTTATGAATTTTATAACAAAAAATATGAAATAATGTGTTTATTTCACTGTAGGATCACTTGGATAATTTTTGTATTCATCATTTATTAGTTAAATACTTATACAGACTTACTTTTCTATTCCAGGATAGCAAACCAGTGTCTGCTTGTATAATAGATTATCAGACTGCAAGAATGAGCAGCCCTGCTTTTGATGTATTATATTTAATAGCAAGTAGTGCCAACAGTCAACTAAGACAAAAACATTTTGCATCTCTTATTCAGGTTTATCATAGTACATTGTTGGAGTTTTTCAAGGATGCCAACATTGATAATGTGTATAACCAAAGACAATTAGGCAAAGATTTAAAGGTAGTTGGACCCGCTTGCTTTATAGTTGCCAATACAGCTCTATGGTTGTCAAGTGGATTGCAACAAGAGGGACATGTGCGAAGCAAGAAAGTCTTACAAACAGAACACGAGATAGCAATAGCCGGTGATAATTATAAAATTATAATAAAAGGTATATTAGATGATTTTATTAGTTATGGATATATGCCAGAGTTGACAAACTAACATTTCTAAATATAAATGGTGCTATGGATACAATTGTAAAAATGATCTGATTTTAAAAAAGTTGTTACATTTGTAATATTTTGTAAACATTTTTGAGCTATCGTTAATAACTGTATTTGAAAATATTTATAGGTGTTACTTAAGGCAGCTACACACTTTCAGATTTAACTGCACATAAAACTGTCATGTGTATGCAAAATTTGAATATTAATTTTAATTTGTCACTTAAACTAAACAGTTCTTAGTTTTACCTTGTATATTCTTTTAGTTTTAATTGTGCACTTAGAATGTACAGTTAAAACTGAAGGTGTGTCACAGGCTTTATAATTGTTAGTTTAAAGCTAGAGTTAACTGTAATATTTCAGCATCCAACTGTAGTGTAGTGATATTTTACATATCCTTTTATAGGTATTTTTAGATTGTATAAATCCAATTTATTTGCCATTTTAAAATGTTTTAATACTTTATGAGAAGGGATGAAACGCATGTAACAAGACGGATGTTAGTTATGAATGTGGAGGGGTACACAGGTAGAGGTAGACCTAGGAAGAGATGGATGGTTTGCGTGAAATGTGACATGATCAAGAAGGGAGTGATGACTGAGATGACAGATGATAGAGTTATTTGGAGGACGAAAACCCGGTGCGCCGACCCTACGGGAAGATAAGGCAGGGGAGATGATGATGATGTTAAAATGTTTTATTATGTTACTAAGATAAATATTTTTATTTTGACTGTTATTTTTTACATATTGAATAAAGCATTTGGTAATTAAAATTTACGATACTTATCTCCAAAGATATTTGTTTTATAAACCAGTAAGTTCGAGATAATGCCTTACCTTTGTGTTAAAGTTCTCGGTACTTAGTTTCAACAATAAAAGTAAATGTTTTTAAATAGAAGTTAAATAACGTACAATACAAATAGGCATGGTAGAGTTAAGTACAATACAATAGCGGCACAATATTGCGGCGAAGCCTTAACTTTTAGCCCCGTCACAGGCGATTTCACTTCCTTTTTGTAGCTCAAAGCTCTCCACAACTTCCTGTTAGAAGCAATCTGCTACAAAGGAACTTATTGTAGAGAAAATATATTTTAAATAAAATGTTTCCGTTTATTAAATTTTACTTTAGATTTAAGCGCGTGATCTAAATTCGATTCCTACAGAAGATTGGAAGCCTGTCCTACCACCGGCTGATAGTGGCTCAGATAGCTTAAAAATGACGTCACTGTCAGATAAGGTAATAAAATCCAATATCTGCATCACATATTTTACATGTCGGATTTTTATCCGACAACAGTGTGGCCATACACTACAGTATACATTTTTAAAATCATAAATATATAATTGACGAGCTGTTGCCCGCGACTTCGTCCGCGTGGTATTAGAAGACATACGAACTATATAAATAACAAAAAGCTACTTATCCCTCGGGAAACGGGCACCTCGGGGATGAAGCTTATCCCATGTATACTCCAGACTTTGCTTTACATCTGTGCCAAATTTCAATAACATATGTTGAACCGTTGCAGATTGATCGAGTAAACATTAAAAAACTATATTAATGAATCCCACGGGAACCGTAACTTATCCCGGGATAAAAAGTACCCTATGTGTTCTTCCAGACTATGCTTTAAACCTGTGCCAAATTTCATGGAGATCCATTCAGCCGTTTAGGCTACAAACGCTAACAAACATCCATCCATCCATCCATCTAAACTTTCGCATTTATAATATTAGTAAGATTAGTAAGATAAGCCAAAATGATTAGCGATTATTTTAAAACGCAGACACAATTGTTTATCATAAACTGAAAGAGAATAATTAGATATTTTTTTAAAATTCAAAAAGCCACGTATCAAATAAAAGTTGTTCATTTATTTGTGAAGCAACGTTTATTTTCAGTAACGTATTGATGTTGTTACCGACCTATCAATTCCAGTAGATTTATTTTAAATAGGACGAATCATTAAATGGAGTGAAAAAAGAAGGGTCTTGAGTAGCGAGGAAACCGTTTATTGAAAAATTTCGGGTCGGATCGTTTTTCAACGGTTTTTCAAGGGATCTGTGGTACTTTACGTTATGCTTTTGACTAAAATAAGATTTTCGTCCGAAATTGTTTCTAAAATATTGATAGAAATAAAAAAACAATACAAAGATGAAGAGTTACGAAATAAATTCCCTTAGGGAAACGTAAAATAAGTTAGCATTTTAATAAAAAAATAAAGATATCCTTAGGGAAATTATTACATTGAATAAAAGGCGTAATATATGATTTATTAACAGAAACATATTTGGTATGCCTAAGTTTTTAATTTTTTTTATAAAGATCGCTATAAATCCTTACAGTCTTTGTACAAGATTAGTAAAGCTGTGTCATTATTTACGAAGTTTAGTTTACTCAGTCTCCAATAAAATAGATCTACGATTTGTTTAAGACTGGTAATCGTTCAGATAAGAGAGGCAACTTTTGTGACACACTAAGCTTAGTGAGTAGATAATGATAATAAAAATTATCATTATATTTATACGCTATAGCAATGAATACTTGCTTTAAACTTAGCACACTTTATCCTTTTATACAGAAGATTGGTCGCTTTGTTTTCTGATACATTAGAATTCTTACAAAGTGTGTATTGTACTCGTATGTTCTTAGCTTTGTTTTTTAGAAGTGTACATCTAAAAATTCAATATTTCGACTTTAAAATAGTCTGCATTGAAGGTTTGGATGTAAAATTGAATCTTGCGAAACTCCGCATTGAAACAGTCGTATATTTCCTTTATTGTGCTCGCACTGAATGTTCCTGCCCCTAATCGCTGCACGACGGGCGATTTAAAACTACTGAGCGATCTGCAAGGAATGGATAAGTGAACGAAATTTGATACAAGCTCACAAAATCATTCAGTTTAGGTCACCGCTCGTTTCAGTCGATATGAGTACAGTATTCAATTGTTTTATCCAAATTTTCGTTTAAAAATAAAAATGATAACTCGTAATGTCCTTTAAACATTCCAAAACAAACTTGAATCATAAAATAACATTATAAAAGCAAAAAATTGTTAAGCTTAATAAACTCAAAGCGTCCTTAAAGTATCTAAACAATGTTGGAGAGGCTCATAAAGTGTTTTACGTCTTAAATATGCTAAGCTGGTAGCGGAATAATTTTGTAACACGATCGCTATGAAAATTTATGCAAAAGAAATAAATCAGTAGATATTATATCCGCTGAGAATTATGACTGACTTTGAGTTTGTCACTTCTAGTCTTGCGTTGTTACGTTTATATTTCAGTATCGAAAAATGAGACTATATAACAACTTCAAAAGACATACGCTTTTTAGAATTAAAATATTATCGGGTTTAAAAGGCGATTGAATTTTACATGACTTTGGTAGCATGTATTCAGGTTTTTACTTCTTTTTATTTAAAATTTGCAAGTACTTCTTAATTTTATCTATGTTATAATAGGTTTTACCATGCCTAACTTATTACGTTTAAAATAAACGACGTTCAGGTGACTGAGAAATAACCTAAAATCCAATCTAAACTTGTAATAGACTTGGTGGCATATTGCAATCACAGACTTATTTTCTAAAGATTATTTTTACGTCGTACTTGAATTTGTTTTGCATAGATTTTAATATTGATGAAGTCGATAAATTATTCTATTCGGCTTTGCTATTATAAGAACAAGATTCAGCTTCTTAATGTTGTTTAAAAATACGATATTTCGTAATAGAAGTTAAAGATCTGAACGGCCTCCTACTCTCTTTTGTATCTACTGAATTCATATAAAGTAATTCTCGTTAATCTTATTTTTTGTAAGAGTCAAAATTATCTTCGAATAATTACACCCCTGAAAGCATTCACGCCCCTATTTCTGGGAAATCGGGTGTAAAAGAAATATAATGATTTAAAATTAATTCAGGAACGATATTTAAGCGTGGGTCGAATATCGGTCCGAATTTTTAACATAGACCTTTCGCATATTTACAAGTTTCAGAAAGGTTAAATAAGTAACTTTTATTTTTAGGTCTGGCTTCTACCAACTTTTAATCTTGGTCGGTATTATAAAAATTTCGACTAGGTTTGTTTCGATTGAAGGATTTAAATATCGCTAGAGTGTAGTTTTAAAATAGATTTTATTTTTTAAAACTAGAGTTGGCCAACAATGATGATGTTGATGTGATCGAAAGACGGTTCTGACATGTAAATTATTTTATAAATTACAAGCTTTCGCTCGCGACTCCGTCCGCATGGGATTAAAAAAGCCTATGTGTTCTTTCAGACTATCCTCTACATCTATACCAAATTTCATCGAAATCCGTTCAGCTATTTAGATTACAAACTCTAACAAACATCCATCCATCCATCTAAACTTTCGCATTTACATTTAATATGATAAAAAATCATACTACTTACTAAAATGTAAATAAACATTAAATTAAATAACAATACTAAATAGGTTTTCATGTAATAACATCAAATCGCTTTCTGTAATCGCACTAGAAAATAATTTCGTTAAATCGTATTCTCACTATTAGAAATTCCTTTTCAAAGTGCAGTAAACGCTTTCGTATTTCAAAGCTACAGAGAAGTATCCGAAACGTAAGACATTGATTTATTCTGTGAGAGCGCAACAACGAATGGCATGCATTAGGCTGAACAATACGTTACGGGAAATCCTTTTTGGATTTTTTTAGGAACTTTGTTACATAAGAATACTATACGATAACAGTTATCTTGTATATTTTTAGTGGTGTATATAACAATGTATCATGCTGTGTGTGTCAATATAACAAGAGTTAAATTTTGATAGAATTTTAATATGGGATAGTTAACCTCACAAAGGTTACACCTTAAAAACCATTTATCAAGTTTAATGATTTTTTTGATTACTGTAGTGTATGGCCACACTGTTTAGTGGCATGGTGTCATGCCAGCAAGTTAGTCGTGTCCAAACCACCGACGGGAGCAGACGTCCCAAGCATACAGTACAATTACACTGAGACACAATTTCAATAATCTAGGTTTTAGATATTATTTAGACTTTATAAAATACTAATAATAGATTATTTTAACGGATTTATCCCAATCTTAGTTATATAGACTATTCTATTTCATCCAAACTGATGTTAATATTAATCATTTTGTACTGACGTACGTCTTGTATAATTAAAATTAGATATAACACCGGCTTACAGATTGGAAAACGTACTCAGTCTAAATTACGTGTATTGGCAGGAAAGCAATATTTTAGTTTCATATCTCGTAATAATTCCTTGAGGCAGAGATGTATTATACACCAGGCATTGCAAACCGTACAGATAAGATTTAAGATAACAAACTAAAACTATACGTGTAACAATTATAACAACTTCATTTGACACACTCAGAGTCGGGACTGTACTATTTATTAATTACTAGCTTTCGCCCGCGACTGTGTCCGCGTAAAATCAAAAAAACAATAGTGAGTAGCCTATGTGTTGTACCAGACTATCCTCTACATCTATACCAAATTTCATCCTGAGTGAGAAACATCCATCCATAAACGAAATAAATAGTACCCTATGTCCTCCTCCTGGCTCTAAGCTACCGCTTCACCAATTTTTATTTACTTTCGTTTTTTTTTAATTCCCCGCGGA